AGATGTCATGGCATTTGCTCATGTAAGATAAGGTGGCAGTTTAAAATCCACATGCATGGTGTGTTTGTGTTTGTGTCTGCTTATGCATCTGAATTTTATACAGTTCTGAGTTCTAAGAAAAATGTGTGTTTATGTGTGTGTGGAGATGAGTATGTTGATTGGATATAATATGGCAGTTTAAACTCAGATCCTCCCTTATCTCTGTTCAGGGTTATACAAGGTAACTTCATTTCATTTTATGCCTCCTGCAACTGGTAATTGCATGATGACATTACCTGAATCAGGACCATTCCATGTGAAATGGGGGAAGCTTAAGCGCCCAAGGTATTGAAAACAACAACTGTCTCATGTATGAGAGTTTTGTTGTATCTGTTGAAGGAGAATGAATTGTTTTCAGACAAAAGAGCAGGGACAAAAAAAAAAAAAACCTGAACTTGCCCGTATATCCAGATCCATATACTTTGAAAGAGTAAATAAATTCCAGATCCGGAATAGAATAAAATTCATTAGTCCTGTTTGTGGATTGAATTACTTATTTCCAAGCCCCACCAGTTGTGTCTTGCTAACTGAAAGTTGAAACCCAAAACTGTGTTGAAGTGAGCATGTTGTGCTTTGCAATTAAGAATCTATCTCTATTGCCTTAGATTGTTGAGCAAATTCCTTTCAGGTAATCTCTCCTCTCGCCCCAGGATCATTGGTTAAAATTAATCACTTTGGTCTCCTTTCATGATCTGGCATACCTGCCAACATGGCAACAACTTGTTAAGGTGTGTGAATTGAGACCTTTCCTCCAGATAAGGGTGTGGCTATTAGCATTTTTTTTTAAAAAAAGTTAAATTACAGAATGTAAAGATTTAAAGGCCTTCTTAGATACTCCCTGCAGGAGAAGGTTGAAAAGGAGGAAGTGTGTGAAAAGAAATTGGGGGACCAAAAGGCTTTCTGCCCTTCTTCAAAAATATATTTAAGAGGTTTTGTAGGAACAGAAAAGGAGTGCTAGGTCTGGATGCAGGTAGAGAGAAAAGCAGCAAAAAGCCCAGTGGCAAGTGGAGAATTTTGGAGAGCTATGAAAGGAAGCCAAGTAAGTAAGTAAGTAAGTAAGTAAGTAAGTAAGTAAGTAAGTAAGTAAGTAAGTAAGTGTTGTTGTTAATTGCGAAGTCGTGTCCGACCCATCGCGACCCCATGGACAACATTCCTCCAGGTCTTCCTGTCCTCTACCATCTTCTGGAGTCCATTTAAATTCACACCTACTGCTTCAGTGACTCCATCCAGCCATCTCGTTCTCTGTCGTCCCCTTCTTCTATTGCCCTCAATCTTTCCCAGCATTAGGCTCTTCTCCAGTGAATCCTTCCTTCTCATTAGGTGGCCAAAGTACTTGAGTTTCAACTTCAGGATCTGGCCTTCTAAAGAGCAGTCGGGGTTGATCTCTTCTAGGACTGACCGGTTTGAACGCCTTGCAGTCCAAGGGACTCGCAGGAGTCTTCTCCAGCACCATAGTTCAAAGGCCTCAATTCTTTTGCGCTCAGCCTTTCTTATGGTCCAACTTTCACAGCCATACATTGCAACTGGGAAAACCATAGCCTGGACTATACGTACTTTTGTTGGCAGGGTGATGTCTCTGCTTTTTAGAATGCTGTCTAGATTTGCCATAGCTTTCCTCCCCAGGAGCAAGCGTCTTTTAATTTCTTGGCTGCAGTCCCCATCTGAGGTGATCTTGGAGCCCAGAAAAATAAAATCTGTCACTACCTCCATTTCTTTCCCATCTATTTGCCAGGAATTGAGAGGGCCGGATGCCATGATTTTGGTTTTCTTAATGTTGAGTTTCAAGCCAACTTTTGCACTCTCCTTCTTCACCCGCATCAAGAGGCTCTTTAGTTCCTCTTCACTTTCTGCCATTAGAGTGGTATCATCTGCATATCTTAAGTCATTGATATTTCTCCCGGCAATCTTAATTCCAACTTTTGATTCATCTAGCCCTGCCTTTGTCATGATGTGCTCTGCATATAAGTTAAATAGGCAGGGCGACAGTATACAGCCTTGCTGGACTCCTTTTCCAATTTTGAACCAATCAGTGGTTCCGTGTTCGGTTCTCACTGTTGCTTCTTGACCCGCATATAGGTTTCTCAAGAGACAAATGAGATGGTCTGGTACTCCCATCTCTTTAAGAACTTGCCACAATTTGTTGTGATCCACACAATCAAAGGCTTTTGCATAGTCAATGAAGCAGAAGTAGATGTTTTTCTGGAACTCCCTAGCTTTCTCCATGATCCAGCGTATGTTGGCAATTTGATCTCTAGTTCCTCTGCCTCTTCGAAATCCTGCCTGTACTTCTGGTAGTTCTCGATCCACATACTGCTGGAGTCTAGCTTGTAGGATTTTAAACATAACTTTACTATGTGAAATGAGTGCAATGGTGCGATAGTTTGAACATTCTTTGGCATTGCCTTTCTTTGGAATTGGAATGTAAACTGACCTTTTCCAATCCTGTGGCCACTGTTGAGTTTTCCAAATTTGCTGGCAAATTGAGTGTAGCACTTTTACTGCATCGTCTTTTAAGATTTTGAATAGCTCAGCTGGAATACTGTCACCTCCACTAGCTTTGTTGTTGCTCAGATTTTCTAAGGCCCATTTCACTTCACATTCTAGGATGTCTGGTTCGAGGTCAATGACCATCTCATTGTGGTTATCTGGGATGTTAAGCTCATTCTTGTATAGTTCTTCTGTGTAGTTTTGCCATCTCTTCTTAATCTCTTCTGCCTCTGTTAGGTCTCTGCCATTTTGGTCCTTTATCATGCCCATCTTTGCATGAAACGTTCCCTTCATATCTCCAATTTTCTTGAAGAGATCTCTGGTCCTCCCTGTTCTGTTGTTTTCTTCTATTTCTTTGCACTGTTCATTTAAGAAGGCATTCTTATTTCTTCTAGCTACTCTCTGGAATTCTGCATTCAATTGGGTGTATCTTTCTCTTTCTCCTTTGCCTTTCGCTTCCCTTCTTTCCTCAGCTATTTGCAAAGCTTCCTCAGACAGCCATTTTGCTTTCTTGCATTTCTTTTTCTTTGGGATGGTTTTAGTTGCTACCTCTTGTACAATGTTGCGAACTTCCATCCATAGTTCTTCAGGCACTCTGTCTATCAGATCCAGTTCCTTAAATCTATTTGTCACCTCTACTGTATATTCATCAGGAATATGATTTAGTTCATACCTGAGTGGCCTAGTGCTTTTCCCTACTTTTTTCAATTTAAGCCTAAATTTTGCAACGAGAAGCTCATGATCTGAGCCACAGTCAGCTCCTGGTCTTGTTTTTACTGACTGTATAGAGCTTCTCCATCTTTGGCTGCAGAGTACATAGTCAATCTGATTTCTATGTTGACTGTCTGGTAATGTCCATGTGTAGAGCCGTCTCTTGGGTTGTTAGAAAAGAGTGTTTGTTATGACCATCGTATTCTCTTGACAAAATTCTATTAGCCTGTGCCCTGCTTCATTTTGTTCTCCAAGGCCAAACTTGCCTGTTATTCCGGTGATCTTTTGGCTTCCTACCTTAGCATTCCAGTCCCCCATGATGATAAGGACATCATTTTTTGGTGTTAATTCTATAAGGTGCTGTAGGGCTTCATAGAACCGGTCAATTTCATCCTCTTCAGCACCAGTGGTTGGGGCATAGATTTGGACTACTGTGATATTGAATGGTTTGCCTTGGATTCTAATTGAGATATCGAAGTAAGTAAGTAAGTAAGTAAGTCCAACACAGTGCTAGGCTGCATTAACAGAGGGATAGAATCAAGATCACTTGAAGTGTTAATACCACTTTACAATGCCTTGGTAAGGCCACACTTGGAATACTGCATCCAGTTTTGATCACCACGATGCAAACAAGATGTTGGGACTCTAGAAAGAGTACAGAGAAGAGCAACGAAGATGATTAGGGGACTGGAGGCTAAAACATATAAGGAACGGCTGCTGGAATTGGGTATGTCTAGTTTAACGAAGAGAAGGATGAGGGGGGACATGATAGAAGTGTTCCAATATCTCAGGGGCTGCCACAAAGTGCCTGAAGGCAGGACAAGAAGCAACGGATGGAAACTAATCAAGGAGAGAAGCAACCTAGAACTAAGGAGAAATTTCCTGACAGTTAGAACAATTAACCAGTGGAACAACCTGCCTCCAGAAGCGGTGAATGCTCCAACACTGGAAGTTTTTAAGAAGAGACTGGACAGCCATTTGTCCGAAATGGTATAGGGTTTCCTGCCTGAGCAGGTTGGACTAGATGACTTCCAAGGTCCCTTCCAACTTTACTACTACTACTACTACTACTACTACTACTACTACTACTACTACTACTAAGTTGTTGGTGAGCAAAGGAGAAAAGGGAAGGGAAGCAGACAGAAGGAGAGGAAGGCAGAGCAGTTCTGAAGATAGAAAAAAGAGGAAGAAAGCAGATAGGACGGATAGAAAGGTGGTATATGACTATAGCTAATTTTGGCCACAGAAACCCAATTTTGTTGAAAAACCTTCATGTGACTTTTAGGCCTCTCATTCTTGGCTCAAATCCTTGACCTAAAACTCCTAGAAGGCCACACAATACATAGTCTTATCAAAGAACAGGTACCATTCTGAATGAGGACAATATGGAAACAAGGCTGATTCCCTCTTCCTATCATAAACAGATTGCTTAGAATGTGCTAACTCCTCTTTTCATGTGGCAGATACATTAGCTAGAAAGTTTTGCATACTTGAGTACTAGCCTTATCAGTTAGGGACAGAAGGGCGAGGGCTGTAATATTTTAGTAATGAACCGCCCTTTCAGAAGGGCTATCCTCTACCAGGGGTGTGAATATTTTATTGCTTATTGCCTATCGCTTGCTAATGATCATGTGCCTTGGTTTTCCAAAAGCGTATGGAAATTATTCTACTTTGTGTATTGGGGGCTCTGGATTTGTGATTTAATCCAGAGATTTTTTAAAAAAACCAATTATGTTAGACCACAAAAGAAATAAATAGCAAAATTTATAATTTATCAATGTCTTTATTATGACCAACCAAAGTGACACAAAAATGTGTGCCAAACATATTGTTCTTATTCTTTCATTCCTACATTCATTCAATTTATAAGTCGCCTAATCACAAAACAATTCAAGGTGGCATACAGAGTTGCTGTTTTTTAAATCAAACCAACTTATCATCATAAAAGAGAAAAACCAAAGAGAAGAACCAGTTATAAAAATGTAGCACCTTAAGGAAATTCCAAAATAATCTGAACTTGAAATATCTGATTTGGGACAAAGTCAATCTGCATCATTGCCCATTTGAAAAAAAAAATCCTTTTTTTAAAGCTTTCCTGAAAAACAACAGGGTCGAGACTATGCAAACTTTGAGGAAATGTGATTCTGAAGGGCATATTGACCTAATATTGTCCCAAGTATGGATTTGACAAAGAAAGTTCAGACATGTTTGAGATATGTCATAGAATCTGTACCAGACAATCTTGGTGGCAGACTAGCTACAAACACAGCAAAAAGCAATCTCATTTGTTTAATAGTGGGTTAACCAACATGCAACAGATACAAGCCTACTATTCAGAAAGGATTATAATTGATTCCATTTATCATTGCAACATAATACAAGTACTGTTTCCATTTGTTTGACACAATAGGACACTTCAATCTAAGAAATTTCAAGATTCCACCTTTGCTTTTTCATTGAATTTGGCCAAATGGTAAACATGTCTTGCATGCAGTACAAAGCTGGATGGGTCTTTGCAGTGGTGATGGGAGGATCAGCTGGCCTTAATAGCATATCAAAAGCATTTTTCCACAATAGCTTATAAATTAAATGGCTTTCCATATTTCTTTACCAACGTAATTGATTATAAACGTTTTCAGCATGGATTAGATGGTTGTACAGTATTAACTGAGGTGCTATTAAAACTGCACAAGACTGCAAAAGATCTGTAAGATAGCTTAAAATTGTAGTTTTAAAACAGCAAAACGCAGCGAATGCTGAAAGAAAAAAAGAAAGAGGAAAATCAACATATTTGCAAAGCCTCCCTAGCAATATCTAATGTACATTAAGATCATGTTGCAATAACTCTGTCTCCATTTCCATTAATTAATCAATCACATTGATATAGTTATCCACCTCACAAAAAGCAACTCTGGGCTGTAAGCAACGATAGAATAAAACAACAAATATTAAAACAACCTCTATAAACACATTAAAAGATAAATATAAAAATGAATATTTATTAATCAAATTCGTATAACTAGCCAGCTTACCAAAAGTGGCTCTGAGCAGCATGCAGCAATCAAATATAACAACAAATATAAAAACAACAATTATAAAAATCCACATTAAAAGACAAATATTACAAAAATGAATATTTATTTAGTCAAATTTGCATAAAAACACAAAAAGCGACTCTAGGCAGTGTACAACATCATCAATTTGTACAATAACAAGAACAATTTCCACTGATTCTATCTTTTATTTATATAATTTGGCCAAAACCAATCTTGACATTTCCAAAATACATGGAAACTCTTTGTTTTTTCTTCAGTAAAATTCAAGTTATTTGGGCTGGAAAGTGACATTGATCTCTTGATTAAAGACATGTGAGTTCAAATTCCTACACAGTTCTGAAGTTTGCAGGGTATCATGGGGTCCCTGGTGCTTTCTGAGCTTAGTTTTTTGCAGATGTTTCATTACCAAGCTAGATAACATAATCAGTGCTAGTACTGATTAGCACTGATGATGTTACCTAATTTGGTAATAAAACGTCTGCAAGAAAACTTCCAAACTCAGAGAGCACCAAGGACCTCAGTGTTCAACCCTGTTCTATAAATATTCCCTTGCATCTGTACGACAGGTTATCCTTGTGTCATCACTACTTCTCAGCTTCATGTACTTTAGGGATTAGTTATAATGATGAAACTGTATCAGCATACAATCTTTAGAAGAAAGATTTGACAAAATAAGAGAAATAAAATGTGACAACCTGTATTGGGCTGACACAATCATACCTTTCCCCAGAAATTAAAAGCTCAAATCCTTCTTTGATCTTCTCAAAAGGCAATACATGAGATATTAATGCATCTGTATTAAATTTATTTTTCTTATAATCCAAAACAAGTTTAGGGAGAGCATCTTTTAATTTCCAACCTGGGTTTTAAAAGAAAACAAATAGGAATACTAAGTGAGCTATTCATTTAAAGTTTTTTCAGCATCACCAACTCTGCTGTATCTATAATAAATTTGTCCTTCAAAATATTGAAATGATGCAATTGGAGAACATTAGGCTGGTGAAAGTTGAACTGTATGCATTTCTCAAATTATATCATAATACTAACAATGATAAATGCTGTTATACTAGAAAAGGGGCTAGTGTTTTTATTCATTTTTCATTATAATGTCTTTTCTTAAGAAACCTGTGGTTAATAATAGTTAAGATATTGAGAATCTTGACCAAAACAGCATTTCCTCACCAGAGCCCCTATTCTCTGCTTAAATTCAGCAATAGGAAATGGGAGACAATTCAACTAAGCAGGTGGTAGATAGAATTCCTTAGAAGAGTCAAGACAACTTTATACAATTTTATATCAAGCTGGACCAATCTGAAACTACACATCTTATTTTGAAAAACGAATTACATGCACATACTGGTTAGAGGTATCTTATGACCCACATTAGCTAATGCGCACCTCCAATCAAGCAGCCTATTAGTTTCCTTCCTGTGAGTAGGAGAGCAGGGTCAAAAGAGAGCTGTGATCTTGCAGGAGGTGCCCCCACCAGCACACAAATCCCATGACCCAGGTGGGAAGATGCAAGGGCACTGACCTATTTAAGACACAAAGAAAAACAAGCTAAAAATTAAAGTGAACAAAGAGATTGTTGTCTAAGTTTTCCATGGATAGCTTGAACATAATCCTAAAGATGTTGCTTATATAAAAAAAAGAGCAGACAGTTACATCCAAGAATGGAGATCAACCTTAGGGCATGTGACTCAGCATTCTGAAACGAGAATTAAAGATGGTCAATAGTTTCATTCAGATAAAGGGGTTTGGTTGTTTGGATGGGTGACCTCTCTTTCTTGCTGGAACTCCTCACTTCTTTCTTTTACCTAGTGTCAAAATATGGACAGTATATAATTGTAACTGGAAGGACCAACCAATACGTCAGTTTGCTCATTTGTCCTCTGGGTAACAGAAGAAGAAGAGGAGGACAATGAGATTATTTATAATCATAATCCCAGATGTGACTCACAAGTACTAGGTCATCATAATCCCAGATGTGACTCAAGATACTATTACAAGGATACCATGTGTTGGGACATATATTTAACATTTGCATTTTTTCCCAGAAGATGGAAAAATATAGAATATGTGACTACAAGATACTAGAATATTTTCTGCTTGAATGTTAATCCTAATATCTGAAGGTGCTTTCTGCTACAAAATGGAAATTTAAAACTACGAAATTATTGCCAACACAAATCACATACTTCTGTGTCAACGCGTCCAATCACTTCAAATGTATAGTCCACACCAAGACCAGTCTTCTGCACAAGCACCTCGTGAATTGGCTTCTCAAAATCTTGGGGGCAGATGCACTCAGTGGCTCCTAATTCTTTGGCCTTCATAAATTTATCTTTATTGATGTCAATCCCAATAATCCTGGATGCTCCAGCTGCTTTACAACCCATGATCACAGACAAACCAACACCTCCTAATCCAAATATGGCACAAGAAGAACCAGGCTCAACCTGAAAAAAAATCACACAAAGAAGAATCTTGTGTTGGAAGACACCCAAACAAAACCAGGAGCTGGATGGATGAAAATGGCATGAGAACTAGCAAAGCCTAGGACAAGAAGGCAAACATAGACATAAAACTCAGAGTCACTCAGAGTCACCTCAAACCACAAGATGGGTAGCATATCAGTTTAATAAATAAAATTGAGCAGGATGCAATAAAAATAGTTTTAGTTTCAAGAAAAAAGGGCAGTACCATGAAATCAACCAATGGAATATAACAAGAAAGTTGGAATATATATATAAGAAAAGGTATAACCTAAGACTGGAGAGAATGCAGAAAATATAATTTATTGCATGATGTGTAATAAATTGATAAGGATGTTTGACATTACTTCTCTGTGTCCAAAATAGCAGCAAGATATCCTTGCAATACTTGGGCACTTAGACTCATGATTGAGTTTCCATGTTACAATAAGCCAGTTTGCCGTTCTGTTGTACTAAGTCATGAACCATGATTTACAAATCTTAATAATTGGATTCACAAGATATAGCAAGCCAAAATCAAACAAGCCAGAGACTGACATCAAGTTAACCTCTGGTTTACAAGTTAACACCATAGTACGATGTAAATCAACCACAGTAGATCAGGATTACTTAAACCAATAGTAGCTATATTTATACCACAGGCTACAGCAAAAGCCAAACAAATCTCTAGAAGATATGGAACAAACTCTTCTTTCATCCTACGCAGGAAGCATGAAGTTCTTCTTACCTTGGCACAATTGATGGCAGCCCCATAGCCAGTAGAAAAGCCACAGCCAAAGAGGCAAACTTTATCTAGAGGAGCGTCATCGTCAATTCTTACAATAGATGCTTCTGGCATCACTGTGTATTCAGAAAAGGTGCTTATCCACAGGAAGTGATGAATCTGTTTTCCCTGGCAGGTGAACCTGCTGGTTCCATCTGGCATCAGACTTTGAAAAGCTTTATAAATGCTGTTTGAGAAGATTCAAGTCAGTGTTTGTCATAAACTGGATTGGTCAGAAATTGTCACTGTAACTGAAAAACCCAAATAAATAATACATACAACAAACTTACTGGGATTTGAGACAGCAGTTAGCTTTTGGACTCAAGCAGCAGTCACATTGTCCACATTGAGGAACACAGAGAGGAATGACTTTGTCACCTTGCAGGGAATAAAAATCAGTCCTTTTTAAAATGTATATTGTATTAATTTTTACAGTAACAATCTGGGTTTATGTGTTTAACATTAAGAGTAATACAATTTCCATTCCTACCTTTTATTCCGTTTTTCTAACCATTTATAAAAAAATTCCCGTGTTTGAAAGTATTCTGAATCTATCCATTTCTGCACAGTCCAAAATTTTCTTAATTATGTCTTCTTTAGACAGTCAGTCCTAATGCGATCTTTTTGTGTTAAAAATCCCATAGTATATTAATAAAAGTTCAAGGATTCATAATATTAAGGTTATGTACATAGAAATTAATTTGTGAGATGTATTTCAGACCTTAGGTCACCACCTCTTTGCTATTCTTCAATACAACTTTTTTTTTTTTTTAGGCTTTTGCACAAGTCAGGAAGAAAGATGCTGCTGTTTTACAAAGTCAACTGTTTAACATATTTTTTTAAGCAGCTACAACTTTTTCCCCAGACCCTTGAGAAGTATTGAAAAAATGGGATGGTTTTGTTATTTATTTACAGTTTTTACAGCCTACCTCAGTGATGGCAAACCTTTTAGAGACTGAATGCCCAAACTGCAAACCAAAACCCATTTATGTATCGTCGGGTGCCGGGTGGGCGTGGCCCATTGGGTAGGTGTGACCCATTGGGTGGGCGTGGCTGCAGTGGTAACAGCAGACTGGGTGGGACTAAAAAGTTCAATCAATCAATTCCAACTTTGTGAGATCTTTTTTTTTCCGTAAGAAGTTGAAATTGATTGATTGATTGAACTTTTTTTTTTCTTTTGCACATGGCGGCGGAGGCCTAAAGCGAAAAACTTTTATAAAACCCAGATGAAGGCCTAGGACTGGGGCAATGGCATGCGTGCCCACAGAGAGGGCTCTGCGTGCCACCTGTGGCACGCGTGCCATAGGTTCGCCACCACGGGCCTACCTTTTAGAAGAGTTTGGGTGAGATATAACAGATTAAAAATATAAAACAGTTCAGAAAAAACTATTGGAACTCTGAAAAAACTTGGTAAAGTATGGCCATTTAGGCCCCCTTTTAAAATGCCATGAAGGCAGGGGGCATGGATCTCCAAGAGTGGAGAATTCAATTGTGTATGAGCCGCAGCAGAAAAGGCCTCTGTGGTTCATGACTCTAACTTCAAAGGGATTTAGTGGACCTGCTTGGCAAGACACTTCATGATGTACCCTGGTGCTACTCCATACAGTTCTCCACATAGATATGACCAACTCTTTAACTTGGGCCTGGAAACCTATTGGTAAACAGTGCTGTTATTTTGCTAGCTTGCAAAGGGATGTTGACTATGGATCAGCTACAGCTTCTAGTCATGTCCAAAGGCTGACCCCCCCATAGAGTTTTAGGATAATTCATCTGTTTAGGCATGAGCTGCCATTGATACAGCATCTTTTAAGAATAGAGAGGTATCGTGCTTGCATTTGTGCAAGATTTGAATCTTATATAAATAATTTTTACCAAATAAACATGTTATTTTTAAATGTGTTTGTAAACAGTGAAGTTTGCCTCCAAAGGTACAGTATTTGGACTAAAACTAGTAAAACATTACTTTCCTTACACAGAGAAAATGAAAAATAATTGTTCAAAGTGGAAGAAGGTTCTGTTGCTGATGTCACTGTTTTCCATCATTCTGAAACCTCCTTGGTAGCCACTTCCTATACTGAAAAATCAGTTTCCTTAAATGTCTTACTCTGAAATTAAATTGAACGGAGAGAAGCAAAAGAGGTTGCAGATTACCGGAAATAAGCTTTTACAATGAAAAACAGACTGTTAACTTATATCTCTTGCTGTCTTCCCAGATATGTGCAGGAAGAGGAGAAGGGACAAAATCTGTATTACAATGTCACAACACAAACTCTGTCCCTATTGCACTGGGACATTTTAGGCACATTTTATCATTTTGGCGTAATTCTGGTTAGGAGCAGAGACTTATGGCTACCACAAAAAAAAAGGTTCCACACATAGGAAATCCACCAACAATCTTTTCTTGTTTGTAAGAAAATTTGAATACCTTTTTCATTTTATCTAATTGAATGCGAACTGAGGGGTCCTTGCCACTCTCTGCTCAGAGAGTCCCTAGGATCCCTCATTTAGCTATGAATATTCTTCTTAATTGAATGAGAATTGGTAGAAAAAAAATAGGTTTTTTTTTCTTGGCATAATTTAATCCTTTATCATTTATTCATTTGTCAAAATGTCTTTGCTTGACTATTGTGACTATTGTGAGCAACAATAGTCAAGCATGTCTTTGCTTGACTATTGTGAGCAACTAAGAGCTGTTGTCAGATGCCATATACAGATTTAATAATTTATGGTTGGTTGCACAGTCACCCAGATGTTTAGATTGGATATGGATTCTTGTTCACTTTTTGAGTATTTCCCAAGTACCTAGGATATTATTATAATATACACAACAATATCAAGTCATAGCTGCCAGTTTAGCTGATATAGGCCTTCATACACATTAAGTTCTTCTGAACAACCTACAATATTGTAATATATATATAGTTTAGTATATGTGTGCATTCAAGGAGTGTGGCCTTTTGTAATTATTATCAAAAGAGAATAAGGAACCTGATCCCTTTGGAATATTTCAAAATATAGATGCCTCTTCAAAATTGCCTGAAATTTTTAGTATTGTACTATCCAATAACTTCTCTATCTCTTCCTTACCTGGTTTTACACAAGTGACGTCTGGTCCAATACTTTCAACAATGCCTGCTCCTTCATGGCCCCCAATAACAGGATAGTCTATGTTTGAAAAAACACCTTTCCATACATGATCATCGGTCCGACAGATCCCAGTGGCTACCATCTGTGCAGATAAGAGTACGTCATTTCAGTGGTTAGGTCCAATTCATATTTTCACCTAAAAAGCTTTATCAGACCGAAAGCCTATCTAATCCAGCATTCTCTTTGCACAGTGAATCCAGAAGATGCTTTGTAGAAGTCTTCAAACAGGACAATCCTCCCAATCAAGCCACATAGCAGTAACACAGTTAAAGGAAGGAAGACTTAGGAGTTTTAGTTTGTCTGGAGATCACAAGAAAGAACATCAAATTTATGGGTTGTACTTTTCAAAATAATTTGTTTTGAGTGTTAACAAAATTTGAACTGTGGTCTCATTAAAAACTGGTTCTATAAAGTGTATACAAATCTTGAGAGTTGTTTTCTTTGTTCTGGATGCACAATATTTATTGATGCAGAATCTGATGATTTATATCTTTTCTGTTTCTTCAGAGTACAACAGTTCTATTGCTTGTCTTGTTCTATCTCTATGGATTACCAATAATGTGATGTAGTCAAGAACCTATTTCATAAGCAGGCCTATATCCATGCACAAAAGGGAGGTCAAGAAGCTGTCAGCAATACAAAACATTTATTCCAAAACGATTCTGAAGGAAAACCCTTGAAAAAAGACAACAAGAACTGGATGATTAGTAGAGCAACCATCAACAGCAAAATTCTGGATAGCAGCATCTTGGTTCAAGTCTTGTTTGTTATTTATGTTTTCCTAAGCCATTGTCTCCCTGGTCTTTCCAGCAACTCTTAAAAGTTTAGGTACAAGATAATTCCTAATTTTATTACAATAATAATTTATTCATTGTAGGGGATGTATGCCTTTTTTTACCTTCACTCGAATTTCATGGCTCTTTGGTGGTGCTACTTCTACCTCTTCAATCGAAAATGCTTTGCCCGGTTCCCAGATGACTGCAGCTTTACATTTAATCACCTGTGTACACACAGACCATCAAAAGAAGTCAGGGGAATGAGCAAATATACTGTCAGAATATGTCTTGTAAGCCAGAGAAATGACAGAACTGTTGAACCAGGAAAAGAAGGCAGTTAAACTTTAAGAAGTTATGGCAGTTTTATTATGGGTAAAATTTGAATTTCTTCACCAACCTTTCTATCAGTGGGAAGTGGAATTAACTAGTACTTATTACCCAATGTAGAAGGGGGTGGACATATTCCTCTTGATCCCTGGGCACTGCCTCTGTGACAGGGGTAGGCAACCTTGGCTCTTTTATGACTCGTGGACTTCAACTCCCAGAATTCCTCAATCCATGCTCACCAGGCAGGCAAAGTGGAGCCTGCTCAGAGAAAAGGAGGCAGATACTGATATGTCAAAACCATCATCATTACATTAATGTTGCAGCAGATGGTTTCCCTATCATCTGGTGACCCTGAGGAATTCTGGGAATTTAAGTCCACGAATCATAAAAGAGCCAAGGTTGCCTACCCCTGCTCTAGGAGAACTGTGGTGTGCACAATGGGAGAATACGGGTTTTTTTAAGCTGGGCTTTTCCCCTGTACCTACTATGTATCCAAACTAAATTTTGGATCAGTCCTCATAGCAGTTGACAAGCAGAGGTAGAGGGAATGGGTACAAAAAGAAATGTAAGAGAACGCCAGCACACTGTACCCACCCTCTCAACCAGGTTCTATAGTTTATTTTTCAGGTTTAATGGCTGATAATATCTGAACGTACCAAGCAGCTGATCCATGAGAACACAGTCTGGATGGGTAAAGAGATTCCTCTTGCCTCTCTCCAGAGGACAGAGGAGATGGTAAGTAAGTTCTGAAAGATGGCTCAATCCATGCTCACCAGGCAGGCAAAGTGGAGCCTGCTCAGAGAAAAGGAGGCAGATACTGATATGTCAAAACCATCATCATTACACTAATGTTGCAGCAGATGGTTTCCCTATCATCTGGTGACTCTGAGAAGTGAAGGCAGCTTTTCTGGCATGGGACATGAGGACACTATTGTTGATCTGCAACCTGGAGGAAAGGCAATTCAGATTGCAATCAAGACTACAAAATCTATGCTGATTTAGTTTTCTGCAGGGTTATAGGTTAGTGAACACTTTAAGCAGTGGGAGGAAGGATGCCCCTAGTCATATTTATGCAGAATGTTAAACGGGGTTTGCTTTCAGTTAAGTGTGCATACAATTGCAGCTTAATATTTGTGATCTGTAATGGGTTCACCAAAGGGAAAAAAAATATTTATCAGGGAAGGTCTGCCTTATGTTAGGAGATACGCTTGCAAATATAATATACAGAATTGCAATTAAATATCCATGGAAAGATGTTCATAAAAACATGTTCATATACATATATGAAGTCAGGTTCTTTGAAAAAAAAAGCCCCTTCCATACCAATTTAACTGAACAAAAATTAGAAACTAAGAAAACATTTCTTAGAAAAAGAAAATTGGCATATGTATTTATCTCTATTTGGAAATGCAACAGAACTTCCATCTGTTGCCAAAAAATAGTTTGTAAATTTTAACTAGGTAATTAATTATATACCAGATAGAACAGACAAACAGAAGTAGGTTAGTTAGTACATAAGTAAGTAGGTAGGTAATAACACAATTTACTTATAAACTAGTTTGGTGTAGTGGTTAAGGCTCCAGGCCTTAACCAGGAGCCTTAACCACCACCAACTGACTTGAAGGCACACAACAGACACACACAATAAAGGACTACATAGCATAAACAAGAAAGGGATGTCTAGCATGTACAGCTATATGTGCATTGCAACTACTCCCAGGTTCCATTTCTAGTCTGGTTATAATTGTACAATCTCTGTTTACATGTAAGAAATGGGTTTCCTTACCTCAAGCACACATACGTTCACTTTGTCTCAAAGTAGTTCTTTTTTATACTGGGCAGAGTTTGCAAGTCATAATACTTTAAATCCATTATAATTTATTAATAAGTAAAAAAAGCTACTTGAGAGTCTCGTACCATAAATGCAAAACAAAAGAAAGAGGAAAAGTTCTTCCCGTATTTACATGAGCTTATAAAGCCACAGAAAAGAGATTCTAAGAATGAGAAGTATTAGCTCTAAATCCAAAGATTTCTGACTGAAAACTCTGCTTTAAACATTACTCTGGAAGCACAAACATTACACACACACACACACACACACACACACACAGAGAACTTTTGTTTGCTCTTGGCACATTTCTCTTAAACTGCAGTGAGATTCAATTAGTTTTCTGCATGGCAAGAAAAAAAGTAAGATTTTTTATTTTTTATTTTTTTTTCATCTCCTTTTATTATTTTTATAAATAACCCAAAGTGGCAAACATATCTAAGCCTTTTCTCCCTCCTGTTTTCCCTACAACAACAGCCCTGTGAGGTAAGTTGGGCTGAGAGAGAGTGACTGGCCCAAAATCACTCAGCTGGCTTTCAAACCTAAGGTGGGATTAAAACTCACAGTCTTCTGGTTTCTAGCCTGGTGTCTTCCCCACTAGACCAAACTGGCTGTCCATAATGTTGGTCTTCTGCATGGTGAAGAAGAAAGGTTTGCCCACATTTACATTACCAAACATTTTGAATGAAAAGACCACCAGTTTAAATCAAACATGGTACATTTAAAGCTCCCAAGGTGAAACCGCCTAATAACACATCCTTGAAATTCCTCAGCAGAACAAAATAACAGCAAACACAACAGCACAGATTTCTACTCCATTCTGGTACTACAAGGTGGATCATGATTCCCATAATCTCTAACCAACATCTCCAGTGCAATCTTGAAATGACTCGAGTAGTCCAGTATATAGGAAGAAGACATTGTGAGTGTTTTTAAATACTCCATAGACAGCACTAAGTCTTAGTACTATAAGCACAAGAGAGATTGGGCCAGCATTTTTCTGCCTATAGTTCAGGTGAAGGATAAGAATACTATACTCTAATAAAGCAACCAAATGACTATACATTTTCTTACCCACGACAGAATTTTAAATCATTTCAACAATGCTCCAGAATGCTTAATTTTTACTTGTCAGGCTCAAGTGTTGAATGGTTCTTCAAGCCTGACCTTTGCAGAGCATCGAGTGAATCAGCACAAGTGAAATTCAAAAAATGCTCCATACATTCTTTTGGAACACTTAATTCTTCCATTGTAGAAGTGGTCTAATAACCATGTACATATGCTGTTCATACAGGTTTTGATTAAGAGTCTTCCTTACCTTCCCAGCAGTCGCCATGTATTCCAGGATCCCTGCTTAGAATCTGTCCAAGCTCTTCTATAAATGACTTCTCTCCTTGATTATTTTGGCTCTGACAGATAAATGAGCAACTTTTCTCCACCCTGTACAACACATAAAATGTTTAATCTATGATAGGTCAGCTCAGGAAGGGGAGGGTTCCTTTGCAACTATACTAAGAACTTCAATGTTTTCCCAGAGTTTTGTTTAAAACAAACTCCCTCTGGAGTAGCTATCCAAAGATAATTGCCATCTAGACCCAGAAGTGAGATTCTAAAAGCATACAGATCTCAGGGCTGAGTTCCAAAAAAAGTTTCTGAATTAGTCTGTACCAGCAAAAACAAAAACAAAAAAACCAAAAACCAACAGAACAAAATACAAACATCTTTGACTGATGTTCTCTTGCTTAAATTACTTATATCAAGGATAAAGATAGATTATATGATGCATTTAAACAACTATATTAATCCCACAGGTTTGGTGTCCCCATAGGATCATAATTGAGAAATATTAGTCTTTGTGGAATAGCTATTAGGCTTGCATTGTACATATCACGTTTGCCAAGGCAAAGATTTATTAAAACAAATGACAGTTCATATGACAAATAATATAAATGGAAAAGCAGCACTTCTTTTTTTTATGGATTTTAGCAAAATTCCCAGCATGTGCAACACTAATTAGCTGCAAAAGTACATTGCCTTGTGAAACATTAAACATTAAATGACTACTCATAGAAAATGGGCACATAATGCTGAATTTGCATGATACGCTTAACCATAGTTCTTATTTTATTAATTAATCCATGGCTTCTTAAGATTAATTCAATTACCCCATTTTTATTATTATTAACTTAAAATAATTGTCAAATTCTATTCATGTGTTGCTGGAATGCAAGGCTACAAAGTATTCTGTATTGGCCCAATACATTGAATTATAAACTAACTCTTTTGGTTATGTTTGCACAATATTCTAGACTGAAATATATTTGACTAGTCCGTGTGTCAATATATTACACAAACATAGCTAGTGTAGGATATTCTAGGCAAAATTTAGCCAAGCACCCTAAAGGGAGGTGCCACTGCAGTCAGTGAATAGAACTGATGCATAAACCACAACTGTAGCAATCACACTTGAATATGGAATTATTTCAGCAGTTTCCAATTCCTGGTAGAAATGTACTTGGCTGGCACAATACAGGAGGGAAAATTTTCAAAAACAAAATGAGAAAGGAAAAAAAGCTTCACTAAAAAACTAAAATGGTTTGAATAAAGAAAAACTTGTATTAAATCATGAATCATGTTATAATAAAATATAAAAAATATTTTAACCAGGAGGGAGAAAAACAGACAGACAGTGGTGGGATTCAGCCAATTTGCACCACTTCGGCAAAACTGGTAGCTAATTTTTTGTTGCCCAGACCCAGAATGGACTTCCAGAAACGGCATCCATACACAGAACTGGTTGAATCCCACCACTGGATGGATGGATGGATAGATAGATAGGTAGATAGAGATAGCATAATCTCTAGGACACTCAGCTCCTGTTGGAAAAACAATTGGAAGTTATGTTCCACTTCAGTTGGTGGACCAGTTGTGTGCCCATTTCTTGAACAGGGGATGCTGGCAACCATCATCATGACCTCATCACTTTACATTTGGACCATTAATTCACTCCCCACAAGTCTGCCTTTCAACATTATCGAGAAACTGCAGCCAGCCAAAATGTCCACAGCCTGATACTGATTTATAACACAAAAGATACATTAGTTGAATCAATAGCTTGTCTGATCCCAGACCCTATTCAGGATGCTGGTTATATTCTTTAAAATCCTTTGTGGCTTAAGAGCTGATTGTTATTGGGGTGCAGCTGGAAGGAACTGGAAAGCATTTTCTGTAATAGGTCCCTCCTATAAAAAGTTTTACCACCAAGAACTGTATTATCACTCCTGATATTTAGAAAGTATCTTTTTCATAGGTTGTAAACAGTTGAACGTACCCAAGGTGAATAAAGGGCTAATACTAGGAATTATTATTTTGAATGTGTTAACATGATTTAACAGTGTATGGTTACATTTTTTGTGTGTGACTACTATATAATGTTACTGTATTTTTGCTTGTGATTTGTTTAGAGGCAAAATGATTTAAGTTGCATAAAATCATTTGTGATAAATAAATAAAATGGTTTATTGCTCAGCATGGCATATACTGTAAATTACCTAATTGTGACTTGTTCGGCAACCCAATAAACATGATCTAATATCATGCATAAATTGAATTCTTGTCTGATTTCAATAAATCACTGAGACATGAATCAAGGACATTACAGAAATCATGAACAGTATTTTACAAAAACACACACCTCCTGCTATAAAATACTGGCATTTTGTCTTTTTCTCTCTCAGCCACAATTATAGCAAATTTTATTGAGATGTAAAGGGTGTACAAGAATTGCAGCAAGTAAAATATTTTCACTTTAACATTAATGTGTATTTGTGTACATTATGATCAATATTCTGGTTCTCTTTCTTACAATATTTGCATGAAAGAGGCAGGTCTTTTCCCTGATTATGGGAAAGATATAGAGGCTGGTTGTTTAAATCAGCGGTCCCCAACTTTTCCGGCTTTGAGGACTCATGGCGGGGGGGGGGAGAGGGGATGGGTGGGTAGAAGAGATGATTCTCTGTGCGCAGTGCAATGGTTGTTAAGTGTGAAAAATGGTCATGTCATTTTTTTGTAAAACATTTTCTTCTCAAATCAGCATATTTTTTTTACTAGCGGTGCATAACGCAAAACAGCATCAAATTCTACTTAAATGAAAGTGTTTTTAGAATTGCCTTTGACACTCAAATCATTCTTTTTCCTTTAGCATGAGTCCCCAGATTTGCTTGTTTGTTCAAGGCTTCCAATATCTAACTGGGTGATCAAAAGACAATATAAAAATCCTATTTTTGTTCTGTCATCAACAAAAGCCCACACAACATAAATGATTTCACTTCATATAAGGCCAAACAAAATGGCTTGTATCATTTGAAAAGGATTTTTTTTCATCTTTTCTCTTTTCAAAATAAGGTAAAATCTTTTGATCTCTTGTCTACTCCAAACTATTACCCAAATTAAGCTTTCAGTAACTTTCAGTAGCCTCTGAAGTTTTAGCCAGCAATTTATCATAAATGTCATATTCTATCTTAATTCTGGAGCCCAGAAAGGGATTTTATTCATTCATTCATTTATTATAGAAATCACCCATTTACCTCTCAGAGGGACCCTGGATGATGTTCAAATAAAATATTAACATATAAAATGTTAAAACAGGATAACCAAATGTAAAAATTTAAAAAAGGACAAGAATAGTTAAAATATAACATTAAAAGTTAATTATAAGGGAATACCATTGGCAAACCGCTCTTAATGTCCAGTTTGATCAAGCTTTTCCAAACTGGGTGCTCTGCAAATGTTGGACTTCAATTTGCATAATCTCCAACTGGTAATCTGGAATTTGAAGCCCACACATCTGAAAGGCACTTGATATGGGGAAGGCTGATTTATGCTACTGAGACTGTAACAGCATGGTTTGGTCTTGTCCACAATTGCTGGTTTTCGGGTTGATATCAGAATGACTTTGAGATCTATTGCTTTACATTATAGATGCAGATCTTCAGTACTTAAAATTTATTTGATAGATTTGGAGGGAAAATAACAATAGCACAGACACACACCACTTCACAGTGCTTTACAGTGCTCTACTCTCTGAGCAGTTTACATCATCAGTATATTGCCTCCAACAATCTGGGTCCTCATTTTACCAACCTCAGAAGGATGGAAGGCTAAGTCAACCTTGAACTGGTCAGAATCAAACTCCTGGCACTGGGCCGAGTTAGCCTGCAATAATGCATTCTAACCACTGCGCCACCAGGGAAATGGATGATATCTACTGCAATGGAAAATATGGACACAATTTATGACAAAGGATTGCACTTACTGCTAGGTATTGCCAAATTTAAATTAACTTTTTGCAACCAAAAGTCAAGGAAGAAAACTTTAATATAGTCAAATGTTGCATTTATTTATCTATTTAATTTATATCCCGTTGTTACTCTTTTTATAAACAAATTCAAGTGGCGAACATATCTAATGCTCATTCTTCTACCTATGTTCCCCATAACAAAAACCCTGTGAGATGAGTTGGGCTGAGAGAGAGTGACTGGCCCAAATATTACCTGAGAGAGAGAGTGACTGGCACAAATATTAACCAGCTGGCATTTGTTCCATTTATAATGCTTTTCCAGGCCCCCCTTTTTAAAAAAATTGCTAAGCTTATACATTTGGAAGCAGTGTTGATCCACTGATGCTATTGTATTGTATTTTTCTTTTGATTAGGTTTGTATGATACAATTAAGCACATATAAAACAATTACTGGAGCTGCTGATAGATGCTTTGGTATCTAGTTCCACTGACTCTAAACTCAGAATTGGCATGGAACAGTTCCATTCAGCGCAATAACCTATGGATGATAAGGAAGCATGAACAGGAGACAAAGCAAAAGTAAGTCTCACATCTTTTGATATAAGATTATATGGCAGAGGCACCCAGGCTGTTTAATGGTAAGTGCAATGATTGAGGTGTTGGACTAAAACCAGGGAAAGTTAAAATTCAAGCCCCCCCCCCCCTTGATCTCTGGCTAAACAAGATAACTGGATCTTTAGTGCTCTGTTTCATTACCCAAACTAGATAACATCATCAGGCACCATGCTCAGAGAGCACATGGACCCCTCATTTCAACCCTGAGCTACAAATATTCTCCTTTATTGGTAAAACAAGAGAATTGCAATGCAGAGAAAATGAAAGGAAGTTGTTTTGAACTGCCAGAGGAGAGCAGCTGCTTTTGGCAACAAGGGATTGCTTTGTTGATATAGAATGAATGCCATGGAAACAGAATTGTATGGATAAAGCAGTCAGGAGTGATTGGTGCTAATTTCTCTTCACTAATCAGGAGCCCTTCTGGCATAATTCAATTAGTGAATCATGTCACATTCTAACCTGAGGCTAAGCCATGAAAACATGAGTTCCTACATTTTATGTAGATATGACTGATTTCTTTCCCACTTCAGAGACTTAAAAATTGGATTATGCTCTTTCTGTGATAGTTAAAACTAAGACCACGACAGAATTTTTTGCATCTGGAGCCAAGTAATATCAACATTCCATCTTATAAATCATGCTACGACCTAAATATAAGCACCCAGAGAAACAAAACACGAATGTCTTTTTCCAGTATTTTCAGAACAAACACAGGGCCAAGGAAAAGAATATTCTTCGTGGTTCCACATTAAAGACTTCCAGACAGATTCAGCAAGTTGAGCCACTTAAAACTTCAAGACAGTACGAATGCTGAAAAATAAAACACAGGCTTCACTTTCCATATCCTTTGTAAAGAAAAATGATCAAAACACAAGTATTTTTAAATTCATGCTTGTGGCTGATTTCCTATTTTCAAATCCTGCTGACAGATATTCTTAATCTTGGAATATGGGAGAGGCAGGCAGTGCAGATGCACTTGTTTGTGGCAATGTTGCCAGGACAGCAGCATTTGCCATTCATAAGAAGTCAAGTGCTGTAGAAAACTATCTAATCCAGTAGTTGTGGGACATGAAGAAATGGCACCCAGTGTGAGTGTAGTGTAGATTTATTGAGGCAACTCACCAAAGAATGGAGGAATCTGGAAATTCAATAACAAAAGTTGCATGCAGATCTGAGTAATCTCTTGAACGTTATTTCCTCATAGATATTTGCTTCAACCGCTTACCAATTGCTTCAATATTAGAAGAAAACCAAAAACAGAAAGCCCAGCAAAAGGCAAAAAACTTGCAAAGTAATTTCACTTACTTATATCATTTGGTAGTCCCTCGTTATAAATTCTGCCAGCATGTATAAAAGTGAAACTGCCTTGGTCAGCTTCTTGGATGATGAAGAGAAACAAAAGGAATATGAATTCTGACTTTTTTTAGTTCTCCTAACAGCTTCTGATTTCAATGGCCATGGTATCTTTCCGGACAACTTTGCAGTCTTGGGAATTTATTTTAATTTTACTATTAAATTTATGTGCTACCCATCTTCTGTTAAATGACTCCAGGGCAGTTTACCCAATAAAATCATTAAAATCATCAGATATAAAATGACAAAGCAGATAAAATAAAATCATTAACACAAGATGGAGAAGGAGGGAGAAGGAAATACATGGGGGGAGGGGTGATGGATAATATGGGACTAGCTTTTAATTAGTCAACCATCTCCAGTGTGAAGCCCCCCCCATTGGGTCCCCAAGCCATCTGGCAGAGCCAGGTCTTAAAGCACTTATGAAAAGTCAGGAGATTGGGAGCCAATCTCACCTCAGGGGGTAAGATATTCCAAAGGGCAGGAGAGGGCCTTGCTTTGCAGTGGTTCTCTTCCTATCTGACAGAATGATCCCAGATGGCGTTGCTTGGAGACCAGTGCTCCATAAAGAAGGAACTGGCATGTGAAGTCCTTCAAGGCACCATTTGATCTCCATGGCTGTTTAAATAGATGCATCAACTGTTGGGAGAGGACCCTGAAATCCAATTCTCTAGGTAACACTATCAGGCAATGGTGTAACTCCCTTGAAAATTTGTCTAAGGATAGTAATGGGCTGAATGAAGGAAAGCAAACTGAAACCGAATCCACGTAAGACAAAAATATTCATTGTGCAAGGTCATCACTCTAGGTTTTGGATAGAGCTATTCCTGATGAAATTACACTCCCATTAAGAGTGGGTATACAGTTTAGGAGTGACTCTGGATTAGATCAGCATCTACTTATAACTTCCAGGTTTGTCTTATGCTTTACATAAGGCTGTTTAGGTGTATGACTTGAATGCTTCAATTGGGACAAACTGCTACAACCAGGTTGATGTTTGGTTTATCTCACAGAGCCCACATCATGCTAATTTTAAATCAGGTTGCCAATCTGCATCCAGATACAGTAGAAGTTATAGCTATTATTTTTAAATCTTTAAAAGTGATTTAGGCCAGAGATACAGTATTATCTTCTCCATGAATCTGAGTTCAATCAGCTGAGTGCAGCTGGTTAATCTGGCTGCCAGTTGGGGCTACTTTTTCCCAGCGGGGAAGGGAAGGGTTTGTGCATGGAGAATTCATTAGAAGAATGAATTAGTAGTATTAAACCTTTACAAAGCTTTGAAAAAGCACTCTTTCAAACAGCCTTTAACTTTTTCTAAAAAATTCTTAGAATCAGCATAACTGCTCTGGGAGATGAAAATCTAACAAAAGTGCAATAAATACTTCATTCTCCTGGCAAGTCCCTTTGGTCTTTAAGGAGCTACAAAATCTAAACATTAATATTTGCTCTATGTATAAATGAAACTAAATTTATCTTTTTATTTATATCCTGTATTTATTATTCTGATAAAACTAAAGGCAGCAAACATACCTAATATTCCTTCCTCCTCCTATTTGCCCCACATCAACCGCCCTGTGTGGTGGGTTTTGCTGAGAGAGAGTTACTGGTTCAAAATCACCCAGTTGGTTTTCATGTATAAGGTGGGTCTAGAACTCACAGTCTCCTGGTTCCTAGCCTTGCACCTTAACCACATGACCAATCTGGCTTTTGGAATTCAAACTGAAGTCTGAGCTGAAACTACTTCTGTTAAAAATAGGCAATGATGGGGCAGAAATCTCACCTCTTTCCAGCACGAAGCAAGTCAAATCCTTTCCCAATATCACTGAATGGTAAAATGTGGCTGATCAGAACATCTGGTTTAAATTTTCCTTCTATGTAACTGGAGACTAATTGAGGAATTGAATCTTTCATCTTCCAGCCTAGAAGAAACAAAACCAAATGTAACCTACTAGATGCTGGCTCTGCTTCCCACGAACATTTTTGCAATTTCTCAAACCTTTTTGGCAAATTGCAAAAGCGCTCGTAACAAAACTTGTAACATTATTTTTTTGTTGTAAAATCAAATATAGAATAAGCTAAAACTGGAAGCACATGAATTGCTAAATGTTTACTCTTAACTGCTGCTTCAACTTCTGGAGGAAAGATGGCAGCTTTTCCTTAACCTGGTATCCAGATGAAGTCTGTCTCTCTCTCTCACTCAATCTCTCTCTCATAATTATATGGCCACCCATTTCACAAACCCTGACCTTGCGTGACATATAATAAAACCATAAAATAACAATATTAAAAGAGAATACCATTAAAAGGGGTTTCTTGAAGGATGGCAGGAAAGGGGGCAATCTCACTTTGGGGGCAAAGATGTTCCACAGCAAAAAAAAAAAAAAAAAAAACATCTCCTGGATTCCCACCAGATGTAACTCCTTAATGGATGGGACCTACAGTATACCCTTTCTGCTGGAAGTGATGGGAGGGGCAGATATAATCAGGAAGAAGCCATCCCTCAAACAACCTGGTCTCTTGCCATGAAGGATTTTAAAATCAGCATCCTGAATTGAACCTAGAGTGAAAGCAGCCTGTGCCATTCTAGGGACACAGATAACTACTCACAGCATAACACACTGTACACCAGCTGAAACTTTCAAATACTTCCCATAGATGGCACCATATAGAGCAGGGGTAGTCAACCTTGGCTCTTTTATGACTCGTGGACTTCAACTCCCAGAATTCCTGAGCCAGCATTCTGGGAGTTAAAGTCCACAAGTCATAAAACAGCCAAGGTTGACTACCGGATATAGAGCATACTGCAACCTGGGAAGTGACCAAGGCATGAGTAACTGTGAACAGAGCATTTGGATGATGCCAGAATGGAGAAGGTTGATATACAACAATCATGAGGAGTTTTCAAGTGCACAAACTCTCTTTGAAGATAAAATGGGATAGAATGGGAATTTGTTAGGATTGCAACAGGAGGAGAAAGTTAATACAAGAGCCAAACTGTTTAGCTACTAAGATCTGCAGAAGAGACCTTTTTGAAAATGTTCTGAGTTTTAGTGTTCTGTTTTCTTGTCCCAGGCTATGAAATGAACTTCTTTGTTGTTTAGAAAACTTATACAATTTCTTTTGCCAGAATTTTATAACGTCATCTGAATCTCAGTTTATACCTTTGGATTTTTAATTTTAACATTAATTCTTCTTGCTATATTGAGTACTTGCCAATCAGAAAGATGGAGTATGAATCAAACTAACTGATAAATAAATACAATACAGGTATTCCTCGTCTTACGACCACAATCAAGCCCAAAATTTCTGTTGCTAAACGAGACATTTGTTAAGTGAGTTTTGTGCCATTTTACGACTTTTCTTGCCAAAGTTGTTAAATGAATCACTGCAGTTGTTGAGTTAGTAACATGGTTAAGTGAATCTGCCTTCTCCTTTAACTTTGCTTGTCAGTGGTGATCACATGACCCCAGGACACTGCAACCGTCATAAATATGAGTCAGTTGCTAAGCATCTGAATTTTATCACGTGACCATGGGGATCCTGCAGAGATTCACTTAACAACTGTGGCATTAAAGGTCATATAATGGGACAAAACTCACTTAACAATTGCCTTGCTTAGCAATGGTAATTTTGGACTCAATTGTGATTATAAGTCAAGGACTACCTGTAATATAGCCACTAATTATCCTTGGACAAATTCTGGTTTATGTTCACATACCCTCATTTCCAATGTAATTCCACACTACAAAAGACAAAGAAAATATGTTTATGAGTGTGTTCACTTATCTTCCATCTATGAACATACCTCCAATGAAACTCCCTTTTAGAGTGCGCCCTGTAATAAGCAGGATAGGATCCAAGGAGAATTTTGCATCTGAGGGGGGCAGACCAATCATCACACAGGTCCCACAGCCCATGTGACAAGAGGCCAAAGCAGCTGTCTGGTTGAAAAAAGGGAAGAAATTAAGGAAATTTTTGCCATGTAAAGAAAAAAGGGACAATGGATAAACATTAAAAATGCTGTGTTTGACCCTGGAAATGGTAAAGATAAGTAACAGCTGGTTTAGTATAAAGCAAATATATACTGAATGTTCTGCAATCTGCATACAGCCATTATTGATGTTCATGTCTCACAGTAAGAACTGAGCTACCTACTTCCCAAAATAACTTTTACCAACAATTCTCTGAAGTTATACCTGAATCAGCTGATAGCACTCCAAAGGATCTCTCATCTTTCTGGAAAGTTGATTAGTGACTTTTTTTTAGTACAGACAGTTGAGTATCCCTAAAGAGCATCCATCTATTTGCTTCTTAAGAATATCAATATAATTATAATTCTTGTTTTCATACAGTATTTGCTGTTTTTTATCTGATTGTTAAATGGTGCCCAGAGTCGCTGTTTTTGAGATGGGCAGCTATATACATTTTTTAGATAGATAGATAGATAGATAGATAGATAGATAGATAGATAGATAGATAGTTAAATAAAAACATATCTGGTCTTCCAACTATCTTAACTGAATCATATGTAGGTTCTAGCTACTAACATACAAGAGTTCAGTCTTAAACACAGACGGCTTTCTTGGCAGCCTGCTTGGAAGGGCTGTCTGAAGGCCAAGTTATTTGAAATAAAAGGGGATCCATTTTTGGAGAGCGTACTATGAACTCAATGTCTTGAGAAATAGTGATGGCAGCCAAATGAGATTGTATAAAACAGTGGTCCTCAACCTTCCTAATGCCACGACCCTTTAATACAGTTCCTCATGTTGTGGTGACCCCCAACTCCCCATCCAGCTCCCCCCAGGCACCCCTCTTCTCCTGGCACCCGCCCAAGCCACCTGGGGGGCAGCAGGAGGAAGAAGGGGAGGAGGAAGAGGAGGGCAAGAAGATAGAGGAGCGGTGTCTTGGTTCCTAAGACCATCGGAAATATGTGTTTTCCGATGGTCTTAGGCGACCCTTGTGAAAGAGTCGTTCGAACCCCGAAAGGGTCGCGACCCACAGGTTGAGAACCGTAGGTATAAAAGGAGAATCTACTGTGAGTTTCTGTGGTTGATAATGGACTTGAACTTGTCTGTCCCGAACCCTGACTGATTATCTTTACCACTACACTGATCCATAGATTGATGGACTATCATTTGTTGTCTTGATGGCAATTTACTTTCTCTGAATGCTTTGGACCCTTGCTGCCAAGAAGCAGGAAGGGAAGAGGACTTATATGCCTACATTATTTGAGACACTGTAGAACAGGGGTCTTCAAACTTGCCCCTTTTATGACTTGTGGACTTCAACTCTCAGAATTCCTCAGCCAGCAATGCTGGCTGAGGAATTCTGGGAGTTGAAGTCCACAAGTCATAAAAAGGCCAAGTTTGAAGATCCCTGCTGTAAAAAGACAGCCATGTTAGTCTACGGAAGCCAAAAATCAGAGATTTTAAGATTAACCAATATTTATTTTGAGCTTTCATGAGTTGCAGATTCCTTTATTAAATGCAGAAGGGCTTGACTGATGTAGGATTATAAATATAGGAATTGATGTGATTAAAATACATCTTGATAAATGATTAGGTGTTTAAAACTCTTTCCTGGATAACTTTTTCTGTATTACCGTATATGCCGGCGTATTAGGCGACCCGGCGTATAAGACGACCCCCGAGTTCGACGCCGGGTCGCAAGACGATCGACGCCGAGTCGCATATAAGACGATTTTCTAGGCATGCGACTCGGCGTCGATCATCTTATACGCCGGAAATGATGTCATTTCCGGCGTATAAGATGACTTTCTAGGCATGCGACTCGGTGTCGATCATTTTATACGCCGGAAATAACGTCATTTCCGGCGTATAAGATGATCGACACCGAGTCGCATGCCTAGAACGTCATCTTATACGCCAGAAATAAACGTAGTTTATAACGTTATTTCCGGCGTATAAGATGACTTTCTAGGCATGCGACTTGGTGTCGATCATCTTATATGCCGGAAATGACGTCATTTCCGGCGTATAAGATGATCGACACCGAGTCGCATGCCTAGAACGTCATCTTATACGCCGGAAATAATAAATAAATAAATAAACGTTATGACTCGGCGTATAAGACGACCCCCGAGTTCGGAGGCTGTTTCATCGCTCTCAAAAGTCGTCTTATACGCCGGAATATACGGTACTACTCTACCATCTCCTTGTCTATTCCCCCCTTCTGTGTTATATCTGTGTATTTCAAATTCAGTCAAGTCACTGATAAAGTGAGCTGCAGCTCACGAAAGTTTAAAATAAACACTGGTTAACCTTACAAGATGCTACCAGGTGTGTCCCATTTGACAGTTTCCTAAATGAACCTATTATGTTACTGGGAAACATAGAACACTGAATGTACATGATCCTTTGGGCTGATTTTTATGAAATAACTTTTACTACAGTGACAAATATTTGTCAAAAATATCAATACAGCAAACCTGGAGAACACATATATGCAATAGAATCCATACTTAATGGATTGCCATTTTCAAACTTTGGATACAGTGGACAAAATCTGTGCCTCAATATCTCTCCAAAACATTAGACTAAGTTCATTATATCTGAAATAATTCAGACAATTCATTTAAATTTAGATTAACAATTTAAATTGTATTGTCACTTGCATATTGATTCTATTTATGTCACTTGCATAAGAATGGATTTATGCAAACAAATGAAAATGGTAATTATTTACACAAATGAGGTATATTCAGACTTAGATAGCTGGGAATAGCAGATGTTATCTCATCTTGAGTGTTCTTTTAAATCAAAATTTCACTTTAGTGCTTTCATTGAATCTAGCATCAAATGGCAAATGAGCCAATCAATTTTGATTAAATACATACCAGTGTCTCCAAACATCCAACAACCTCAAAGGCATAATCTACACCATGTCCAGTCATTTCCAGAATTACTTCTTGAATGGGTTTCTTGTAATCTTGAGGGTTGATACATTCCGTAGCTCCCAGTTCTTTTGCCTTTTCAAATTTGTCACTATTAATGTCAATCCCAATGATACGAGATGCTCCAGCTGTTTTGCATCCCATGACCACAGAGAGACCAACTCCTCCCAAACCAAAAACAGCACAGGTGGATCCAGGTGTAACCTATGGAGTCATGGAGAAAGAGAGCTGAGATACATTCAAGCTGTCCTCCGCAGCATAACAAATTGGTGGAGAAGTTCTTAAATGGCACAGGATTTGAGAGCCCATCAGAACTTATAAATAGGTTTTCTCACCTGAGCTGTATTAAGGGCAGCCCCATAACCAGTAGAGAATCCACAGCCAAAAAGGCAGACTTTATCCAGAGGTGCAGCATCATCAATTTTAACTACGGTAGAGTCAGGCATGACTGTATATTCAGAAAAAGTGCTAATCCACAAGAAGTGATGAACTTGTTTCCCTTTGCAGCTAAATCTACTAGTCTTGTCAGGCATCAGATTTTGGGGTTCAGAAATGCTGTTTCAAACATAAATGGACTTGTCAGTAAAAAAAAATATGTGCAATGTCATGAATCCAGAAAAATACAAAACAAAAGTTTTTAAAGAAACTTACTGGGTTTTCAGGCAACAGTTGGTGTTTGATTTTAAACAGGAGTTGCATTCTCCACACTGGGGCAGACAAAGGGGAATCACTTTGTCTCCTTCAAATACAAAGGGGAAAAACATGAAACCTCCAGATCAAAAGATCATGTTTATTACCCATATTTTTATAAATCAAGATCACTACAAATAAGACTTTTCCGGGTGCATTTATCACAGTTGAAACAACCTTCTGAAGGCACTCATTAAAATGCAGATCGCAATTCATTGTCAATTGAAGGGTTTAGCATTACTAAATCAGATATCCTAAAAGCAGTTCATTTCACCTGACCATATTTATTTCATCATTTTTCATTTACACTACATCAGGGGTCTTCAAACTTGGCTCTTTTATGACTTGTGGACTTCAACACCCAGAAATCCTCAGCCAGCGTGCCTGGATGAGGAATTCTGGGAGTTGAAGTCCACAAGTCATAAAAGGGCGAAGTTTGAAGACGCCTAAAACTACATCATGGCTTAGCATATTGGATGAACCTAGCATCCATGGTTTTAAAGTACAAACTCAGTTTACAAATCAGCTTGGCAATCCATGGTTTATGACAAATCCTTGTACCATCATTGCATAAGTGTTCGTAGATCAAAAGTTATTTCATCAGGTGCAAAGAGTACAGGTCTAAGAGAGAGAAAATCATTTTATTATATATACAGCTTCATTGGGAAGAGGAGGAATAAAATTTCGAAGGGACACTAAGAGGCACAATTGCTTTCAATATGTCCAAATAAGAAGCCACACGACAGAGAAATTCTTGCAATGAATAGCAAATTAAGTTATATAGTGTGACAAGAGCTTCCTGACCTCTGGTGTAGTCTAAGAAAAATGATGCTATAAATACAGTCTATATTGCTGGTTCTCAACTTATAATCACAATTAGAACCAGAATTTCTGTTGTTAAGCAAGGCAGTTAAGTGAGTTACGCCCGATTTTATGACCTTTTTGCCACAGTTAAGTGAATCACTACAGTTGTTACATGAATTATGAGATGATTAAGAGAATCCAGCTTTCCACATTGACTTTTCTTGTCAGAAGCTGGCTGGGAAAATTACCAATAGTGGTCACATGACTCAGAGATGCCACAACCATCGTAAATACATATCATTTGCCAAACACCCAGATTTTGATCAAGTAACTATGGGGATGCTGAGAAGGTCATACGCGTAAGGACTCATCATACATCTTTTTTCAGTACCCAAAGAAGAGTGGTTACTAAACAAGTGGTTTTAAGTCAAGGACTACCTGTAATTAAACAAATCATGCTTTGTAATATCTGAGCACAGTTCTGTACAATGCAGACTATGTAATAGCGTAATTATGCTGGATATCCATTGTACTTTGAAGACATTAAAATGCACATGAAAAAGCCATAGGGGTTCTTCTCTGTACCTGGTTTCACACATGTCACTCCTGGCCCAATACTCTCTACTATTCCAGCTCCTTCGTGGCCAGGAATTACAGGATACTCTACTTTGGGGAAAGAACCTTCCAGAACATGGTAATCTGTCCCACATATTCCGGTGGCTATTATCTACAATAGAGAACAAAGAGTTATGCCCAACCATAGCAGAGGTTATGTGGGTAGTTACTAGGGGCTTCCAATGATCTATGCGTGATCAATAATCTTGTATGAATGTGGACAAGCCTATGGAATCTCAACAGTGGAGGAAAACACAATGTAAAAATGTTATTACTCTGATGCCATATAGACCATGGGGCAGAATGCTGTTTATCTTTTCCAGTGGAATGCATGCTATTAACTCTACCCATCCATCTTGACCATCCTCCCAAAGAAAGAAAAAAGATGAATAATATTTATTCTATGTTTTGAACTTCTAAGTATAATTATTGGTAAGTGTGCAATTGTTTTGGAAACAGGGCAAAATAATTTTCAGCAGTGACTTAAGTAAGTCATGTTGCATGTAAGCTGTTAAACACTTGTTTGCCTATTGTAATTTCTGTGCGAGAGAGAAATTGTCAACTCCAATTTGTCTCTCTCTGATATCAAAGCAGTGTTCATCAATGGCATTGGCAACTCCGTAGCATTTCCCACGCCATTTTGGATTTCTGATTCAAACTGTCATATTGCAAGAGGTACAGATCTAGAATTTTCTTATGTTTGTGAAGGCTTCCTGCTTAATCGGACTGAAGTGTTCCAATTCATATTTCTTCAAATTATCCTGCGCAATTTATCTTTTGTGTATTCCTTGATTTATCCTTCCTTCTAGCTGCCCTGGGAAATGCTGCTCTAATTTATCAGCAGCATAGAACTATAAAGTCTTCTTTGTAGAGCAGTTATGTAAAATATAATATTTAGTATTGAATTTCATACGAAGTATGAAAGATAAGTATCCCATGATTTTATGCTAAATGAAGCACTGAAGTAAGACAATTTCATAAAAGGTTATTGTATTTAGAGGGACATGATTTACAATTGGGGTGGCATGCTTTTTTATGGTATGGGAAAAACAGAGTTCATAAGTACTTTCAAAACCATTTTATAAGAAATGCTTTGTTAACAGTATGGGAAAAAATTAAAGCTAAAATATATTCAAAAATTCCAGGGTGGTTATCAACGATGGAGGCATTTATACATCAAATCTGGTAGACTTCGAAAAAGTATGGACATATAAAGATATTTTAGATATTGATGGGAAATTAAAATCTAAACAAGAATTGGAAAATTTAGGAATAAATCTGTCCTGGTAGGCACATTTGCAGATACAAAGTAGATATGAAAAAGATGTAAAAATGTATGGATTTTACAAGGATCAAAATGTATTTGATTTTGTTAACCTCAGATGAGAAATTAATTAAGAAAATGTATAATTGTTTGTTAATTTTAGATATGGAAAGTGAACAAGTGAAAGAAACAATGATAAGATGGGCAAAATTTTTTGGTTATGATATAGAATTAGAAAAATGGCAAATGTTATGGGAGAGAAACTATAAATTATCAATATTAACTTCATATAAAGAAAATCTGTATAAAATGTTTTATAGATGGCACCTTCCACCAGCAGGATTAGCAAAAATATTTAAAAATATGTCAGATAGATGTTGGAAATATAAACATAACATAGGCATGTATTATCATATTTGGTGGACATGTGGGAAGGCAAAGGCCTATTGGAAAAACATACATATGTGGTTAGAAAAAATATTGGGCGAACAAGTGGATTTTAAACCTGAACTTTTTTTACTAGGCATTATGTCTGAAAAGACTAATAAGCAGAAATTTTATTTAATTCTACATATTACCACAGCAGCGAGAATAATTTTTACACAATACTGGAAGAATGAAGGATTGCCATCAGAGGAAGAAATAATCACGAAAATATTGGAATGTGCAGAGATGGACAGACTAACTATGAGGCTGAAAGACAAAGAAGATACGGACTACTATAAAATTTGGATCTTATTTTATTCTTGGTTAGAGAAAAGAATGAAGGATTAGGAATTGAACATGTATTAGTTTAGCAAACTCCAGACAACTTGTTGATTGGAAAAATTAACATATGTTGATGGAAAAAAAAATTAATAAAAAATATTGTTAAAAAAAAAGATAATTTCAAAATGAAGTCACATAGTTTCTTGGACTAGGAAGTGTTCATGCCCCAATCACTTCAGTATTCAGGAACATGGGATGGCGGGTTATGCCAAAACTAATAGAGGAAACTCAAACCCAGGATGAGTCTCTACATCCCCACTATTTTCATTTAGACCAGGGGTTCTCATCCTTGGCAACTTTAAAACTTGTGGACTTCAATTCCCAGAATTCCTCAGCCAGCAAAGCTGGCTGAGGAATTCTGGGAATTGAAGTCCACAAGTCTTAAAGTTGACAAGGTTGAAAACCCCTGATTTAGACCTATGTAGCAGAGCTGAGCACTGCACTGGATTTGAAGGTGAAAAGGGTGCTTTGAACACATGGGAGTCCAAATACCTACACCTCTTTAAATTAGCTGTATCACTCTTGGGATCAGAAAAGATCCTCAATCTGCAAAACTTTAGGGATCCATTTTGTACCTTTAAGGCTCTTCTTATCCCAGTACTGATATAGTGGTTGAGTTGATGGACTAGGAATTGGGAGATCCTAGTTTTATTTTACTCTCAGACCCAGAAGCTCCCTGGATAACCAAGCCAATCAGTTTCTTTTTCTCTTTGCTCAACCTACTTAACAGGGTTGTTGTTTTGGGAACAAGTAAAGAGAAGTACCATGTATATGTCTATGAGCTCCCAACAAAAGTTGGAATATAAATCTAATATATAAATATCTAAAAAAACATACGTAAAGATGAATTTACAAGGTCACAAATGGGTGCTTGAAAATGTCCATGTAACCAGAGATTACAAATGACATTTTATAAAGCAAGGCTGCATACAGAGGACACATTTAGTAAACCCAAACAAAGCATACCATGGTCTGTGAATGAAACACAATTCCCATTTACTTTTCTCTTCGCTTTTCAAAGGTTGCCAATGTATAGGTATTTATTTAGAAATCTGCTTTACAAATGCTTGAAAAATAAATTAATGGAAGTGACACGTTGTAGTTTTCCTTTAAGAACAAAACAGTGCTTTCCAAAATAGAGGACCAGGGAAAATTATTCAGTAAAATTGATCTACCTTAACACGAACTTCATGAGACCTTGGTGGAGCCACTTCTACCTCTTCAATAGAAAGCGGTTTGCCGACTTCCCAAGCCACAGCTGCTCTACATTTGATAACCTAGAAAAGCCAACCCCCCCCCCCAAAAATACATTTAGTCTAATCCCATGCAAAGCACAAAGTAGATCAAACCAGGTAGAAGAACTTTCTCACTAGTATAACAACTACGCCTAAAATCCTTCTCAATGTAGCAGCTCAAGGTGAGGTTATACAGAAAGCGTCCTATGCCATTCCAGTGGGAGTAATCAGCTCCCTTGAGATATAGCACCAAAGGCCCCCACAGGAGGGTTCCACTGACAAACGTAATGTCCCATAGTTGCATCACAAGCTTTACTCCCTTTGGACATGCATCATGAGGATGTACACATGTACAAAAAGAACAAAACTTGCATTGAAAGCGTGTAATGCTGCTCTGGTCATTTTAATGAAAGCTTCCATCCTGTGGACACTTCTGTATAACACACTTTTTGCAATAAAGGAGCACAAGAGGGCATATGTGGAGTGAGGGATTTCTTTGCCATATAGGAAAACTGGAAATTAACAGTGATATTATCCACTGTATATCTGAGAGTGGTAATCTTTCTCATTCCTACAGCACCCTCTGACTAGAAGGGCTGAAACCTGTCAGTGCTTTTCTACTTTTTGAAACAGACAATATATGAAAACTGTAAGTGCTAGCTGGAAACAAACTGGGCATACAGATTTTTAAAAGTATGTGTGTGTGTGTGTGTGTGTGTGTGTGTGTACATGTGTGTATATACATGTATATGTATGTAGGTCTTTGGTTATATGTATATGTATATATCAATTTGCCCACCCCCTCCTGACAGGCTCACTGGGGGAAACATCAGAAATTCCATATCCTCTGTGGCATAACATGAATTTGCCTTCCCAAAATGTTAATTCTGGCTTCCAGCCACCAAAAAAATGTTCATTTTTCATTTACTTTGAAACTTGAACTTGGACAAAGTAGTAAATGAAATGTGATCTACAACTGAGCTATGACCCCAGGTCTAGTGGTGCAACAGGGTGCCCTTTCCTCTTTGGGCAATTATATATTAACAGGATTATCTTAACAAATCACTTTATTCCTGAGGTTTTAATCCCCAGTCAGTGCAATCAGTGACTTATAATATCGTCTAATACATTTTCCAGATATCATGTTCACACTAAGTAATGTATTATATCTTTCTGTATTGTACAATTATATGTACTAAATAAGGAATAAATGCAGCCATGGGTGTACTAGGACTTGATAGAACTGCAACGTAAATCTCTAGTTATATGTGCTTCAGATGCCAATCTAGATGCAATAGCATGAAAATTAGATTGCAATTGTAAACAATTTAGGTAGTAGAAAGCCTTCAAGGCAATCTTGACTCCTAGTCAGCTCCCTGCCTGGACAACTCTCTGAGGTTTTCTTGGCAAGATTTCAGAAATGGTTTGCCATTGCCTGCTTCCAAGGGCTAGGAGAGGTGACTGGCTCAAGATCACCCAGTTGGCTTTTTTCCTAATGTGGGATTAGAACCCACAGTTTCCCAGTGCTAGCCTGACACCTTAAACCCTACATCAATCTGGCTCTCAACTGTAAACATATTTAAATAGAAATTGATCCAACTGAACATATTGTTTGGATTTATGGACCATAGTGAACAACAAAGAAGTCTACCACATTTTAGTCCAGCGTATTTTGAGAATGCCGCCCATCTGTGTTGCATTAGGCTTACTAAATGAAGCATAGTGCAATAACCATGGCTAAAGTCTTGCAAGCAAAGCCGTTAGAATCTATTTATTTACTCAGAATATATCAGTTTAAGGGCAAATTGTGATTCAACAAGCAAGCAAAATTGCTCATTGACTATGCATTGTGCCAGTGAGTGGTAATACTGTCTGGGGGTGATTGTAGTCCAGTGTAGCCCAGTATACATTTGAATACAATTAAACAAAAATTGGATCTCTAATTATAATTCTTGCACATTGCTCCATTAAATCTTTCTGTTGCCATTATTTCGCAGAAAGTACGCAGGAGGGAATGCGGTCTAAAACTTTGCATTAAGTCCTCGTTTTGCTTAACTCTGGTTTTACTTATAAGGTATACGTTCCTCTATTATATCTACACATTTAGCTATCATTTACATATCTTAATAGCTAGGCTCGCACCAAAGATTATCCACAAATTAGCAAACGCATTTCCAGTTTAGATTAATTTACTTCTTCCCTGAAAACAATAAACCGTTTCTTACTTTCCCAGAAGTGTCCATGTCTGCAAACTAGCTACCGTACTGCACGAAGATCTTTCCACTCGCTTTCGGAAAACCCTGGCCTATCGCTTTGGAAAATTGGGGGGAGAAAATAAAAGCGACTACAGTACGCCAATATCGCCAACACAGCGATATGCCCTTCGTCCCCGCATCCAGATTCCTTTAGGTCCAAAGAGCGGTCAAAAGGAAACCCTTTTTTTTCTTTTAGAACTCTTCGCTTGCCGTAGACGCGCCGCAGAGGACTCTGGGGAATGCAGTCAAATCTGCCTACAATATTGCCTATACGACTTATAGAAGCGCTAGCTAGCCTCTTATCAAGGCATCCGCATGTAATAATATGCTGTAATCGTCGCAAGAAATCCTTTATCGGGCAGTTTGAATAAAAGGACTACATAAATTCGTTTCTATATATACATTCCCTTTTTTGTAAGCAAAAGTGGTGTGAAAGGACATTATTTGTTTTACCAGAATCTGGGGAAGAAGGCAACTCTGAAAACTTATGTAATAGGATTTTTTTTTTTTTTGCTTTGTTGTTATGGGTGATTTGGAGAAAAGCAGAAGCACTTTCGTCCTTAAATGACTTTGAAAGTAGTTTTTCATGTTGGATTGGGACCAGCAACCAAAGGTCTCTGGAAATTTGCATCTCTTTCTCAACCCAATCTGTACTTGCTGTGGAAAAAAACGGGAGGAGAGACTTTTGTGTGTGCTACTGCTGCTGGAGAAAAAGCAGCGTATTAAACTAATAGGTAATACAGTATGACGCTTTTTCCTGAGAAATGGGGACTATCTTCAATTCTTCAGTAATATCTAATCCAACCAGCAGCTGGTTACTACCACTTATATTATTGAATTTATATCCTGGGTTAAAGCAGGGGTCTTCAAACTTGGCCCTTTTATGACTTGTGGACTTCAACTCCCAGAATTCCTCAGCCAGGCATACTGGCTGAAGAATTCTGGGAGTTGAAGTCCACAAGACATAAAAGGGCCAAGTTTGAAGATCCCTAGGTTAAAGGTATAACCAACTGGACTAATCCCTGCAGTTTTCTTGGCAAAGAAAGGATTTGCCATTGTTTCCTTCCTAGGGGTGAGAGAGAATGACTGTCCTTCACCAGCTGATTTTAAGACTAAAATGAGACTAGAATTCATGTGCCCTAACCACTGTACCAAACTGGCTCTTTTTATATAACAGTTACAAAACCAACATAAAACTATGACATTAGGTGTTATGCAAACTTAGTCTTGTATAGTGAGGCTCAGTGTAATGCCACATTGTCCCGTTACACTGAATTCACACTGCATTTGAAGATACTAGAATACATGTGATAAAAGCCAGAGGGAAACTTCTCTGACCCGGTTTTACATATGTCAATCCTGGTCCAATGTTCTCTACCAGTCTGGATTGGCATTGTAGGATATTTTATTTTGGGAAAGAACTTACTAGAATATAGTAATCCATCCCACATATTCCTGTGGTTAGGATCTATGACCTCACTCATAGAGGAATTTATGTGGGTATTTATTAGGAGCTTCTTTTTTTGTCATAAATTGTTATTGTTGAAGTAATTGAGAAGTTTGCCTGAAAGAAACATCTACATTTTTCAAATTTCTATACGGTCTGCTTTACTTATACAAATGAAACTGTTCATGTTCTGAAAAGAAATGTTTGAATTATAACATTTATACTATGAGTCAGTATTATAATTTTCTAGTTAACATGGGTGATTGTAGCTAAATACTCAAAAGAAATAAACAAGTATGCCAGTTTATAATATACATCACTTTTTATAAAAAGCAAATATTATATTCCAAATTATTCCAAATTCAGCTTAGTAGCTGCTTAAAAATGCAACAACACAAATATTTCTAGTAAATCAAACTGGTTTTTTGTTTTTTTTTATGTTTGTTGCCAGAAGCTGGTCAGGGCTTCAAAAGAAGATTGAATGAGTTCCCAATGGTAGGTTTACTCATTACTGAAAAGGGTTTCTGGTAGGCCCTGCTGCATCTGGGTGGTGGGGGAGGCTGGTGGGAGGGGCCCAAGCTATCTATCCAATCCTTACTGAACTTTCCACACAATAGTTAGGAGCTACCTCAGTAATGTTGCCACCAGTCATTTTTTCCTAGGTAAATCCCACTCTGCTATGGTTTACCAAAAAGGAAACAGGTGGCAATCCTCCACGTGCCACTGAATTTAGGGAAGCATGCTATAGGTTTTCCCTAGAATGAAGGTTACTGATTCACTAAGATTTCATTTTTTTATTATGATATCAAGGTTCAAAAAAGGAGAAAAGACAGAATATGATAAAGGGGAAAAAAACCCCCAGATGATTTTAGTTGCTACTATTTCATCCATTAATCTCTTCCTTCCAACACAGAAGCTATGCAATTGAGATCATGATCCATGAAATAAATTTTAATCTGCTTTCACTAGTTTCTATATTGCTCATAATTCCTGGATCTCTAGTTTAGATCATTATGGGTTAGGATGTCTTCTCTGACAGGGGTTTCAACCAGTTTGCGTCTGAGCCTGGTGCTGAAGCTGATGAAGAACACCAGACACAAGGTGCAGGTTTTGTTGTCTTTTATTGAAGCGCTCCAAGAAAAGGGATCCTGGCCAAAATGCCAAGGAACCAAGAACCACAGAATTAATAAAGCTTTATACATTTTCTCTAAAGCAGAAGGTGGGATAAGGTGGGATATATAAGAAATATCATCAAATAAACATTTAAATAATAATCTAACAATTATTATATTGGTCTCTAGCCGTCCCTATTCCAAAGTGTTGGCTAATGAATGGTTCAGGAGTCATCCAATACACATATTATTTGCTCCAGGCCAGGGCTTTTCAACCTTTTCACCCATTGTACCACTTTTAGGATATGGCAACATCCAAGTACCACCAGTCACCTAGTAAGGTGTCAAAAACTTGATGACTAAAAAAAAAAAAGGAAAAAAGTGATAAAGTACAGGTAGTCCTCGACTTACAATAGTTCACTTAGTGACTGTTTGAAGTTACAATGGCACTGAAAAAAGTGCACCCCAAGTTACAGCCGAGCAAGACACCTGCCTGCCCCCCTGGCCACGCTCTTCCTCCTTTCCGAGGTTTTCATTGTTGTGAGCATTTCTGTTGAGGATTGGCAGCTGGGGTGGGGTGGGGGGTTGTTTGGTTTTTATCCCCCCTCGTCTGCTGGGTGGTTGCAGCAGGTTTTGATCACTTCACATGACCCTGAGACACTGTGACCGTCATAAATATGCCAAGCATCTGAATGTAAATCACAAGACCCTGAAGATGCTGCAACATTCCAGCTGATCAGTGCTTCTTCTGGGCTCAGAAGAAGTGCCAGGATCAATGCTGCGTTCCAGTTGATTGGTGCTTCTTCAGGGCTCAGCAGAAGCACCAGGATCAGCGCCGGGCACCAGCTGGAGCCTGGTGCTGATCCTGGCACTTCTGCTGAGCCCTGACAGCCTTGCAGTTCCAGCCATCTCTCGCTCAGGCTTGTGCGATGCTGCCACTGGTTCAGCTCATTCCCCTCCATGACTTCCACTTTTCTAGGATGGTTGCGTACCACCTGCCAGGTGCCAATGTACCATAGGTGGTACCCGTACCACTGGTTGAAAAGCCTTGCTCCAGGCCATCCTTATTCCTAGCTTCTAGCTTAGCTTGCAAGATGCTTAAGTCTTGTTACTTTTATCAGCTTTTTGACCACACAGAATTGTTACAAGCTTTACACGTGCATATTCCCTGTGAATAAGCATTCTTTGTTCTTGCCAGACAAACTCCCCAATTACAGACTTCCTGGTCTCCTTTCAAGTGTATGCCATAATCTTGCTTTGTTTTGACAGATAGCCCATCAATGTGAGAGGAAGAAAGATAAAGAAATGAAAGCAAAATGGAGCCAGACCCTTTGACTTCTGTACTTGTATTTGTTGGTTCCTTTGAATTTGATTTTCAGAGTGTTCTGGTATCTTTGCCATGTACCTTGATCGATAGATCCAGATATCTCTTTGATTCTTTCAGTGCCTGAACTTCCTGAGATGGGATTTTTCTTTGAACAGCTACTATAAGCTATGGTAGTGAAAATAAATGTTTTGAAGCATGATACTATGTCAGTAGATAATGCCTTCATTCCTTGTGTCAGACCCAGCGTGAGTCCTACCTGTGTGTGGTCCAGAGTCCGGCCTTCTTACAGACATTGAACGGTACCTGCTTCTCCAAGCAGTCCTGTGTGAGCTGAATCAACGGCGCCGTTACCGGAATGTTGCCGGCGCCTCCACAGTGATGGATCACGTGACCAATTAGTATGGAGAACGAGAGAACAGGATATACCGGGACTATATGGGACGGACACGCTGACCTGTGGATGAACTATAACGCTGGGTCTGACAAGACGTGGTCGCTGGGAAGATGGGGCGGGACGGAGGCGCGGTTGTGCCGTTACGCTATGGAACCGATGGACGACACATGGGGAGACAGGGTGTGGTGTGGGTGGGGTTGTAATCTATGGGGGTAATTGGGATAATTGGGGCGTGTGCAGTGGGTGTGGTGACGGGTTGTATTTAGGCCACTGGGACGGGGAGTTTCCCAGAGCTGACTTTGTTTTCAACATAGAGCAATAAACCCTTGTTGACTACTGCAACGTTCCTGGTGGCTTGTTTGATTCACGCACCAGCAGGACGTTCTTACACCTTGTTTGTGGGTTTTCTGAAGGCACCCTTATAACTATTGAAAAATAAAATAAACAAGTAATCTGATCCAAGAGATTTATTATTTTACAATATCATTATATGGGAATGCTCAAGATTATTAACCTTATAGTACCTCAAATCCATCAGTGATAGCGAATAATGTAGACTATGTTCTACTAAATTGGTCCATCTATAAGTGAAGTCTCTTCCAAACACTCTTGAGTGATAAAGAGTACCAAACAATTGCAAAAGAATTATGAGTGATAAAGTATTTCTCTTGAGCTTTTCATCCAATATCTTCTATATTAAAAGAGAAAGAGAAAGCTGTGAACCAACTATTGATGCTAATGATTTTTTAAGTGTATGTAAATAATCAATCTAACTGTAAAGGGTTCACCAACATTGGCTTTTCTTCCAATCTTGTCTTTCCATTTGTAACCCATGAATTGGGTTACAAATTGGCATTACTTAGGAGGCAATTCAATAATACCAATTTATTTATTTATTATCCCACTTTTACTATTTTATAAATAACTCAAGCCAGTGAATGTACTTAATACACCTTTCTCTTCCTATTGTACCCACAACAACAACACTATTATGTGAGCGGGGCTGAGAGAGAGTGACTGACCCAAAGTCACCCAGCTGACTTTTCATGCCTAAGGTGGGACTAGAATTCACAGTAGCCTTGTTTCTAACTTGGTGCCTTAACTTCTAGACCAAACTGGCTCTCTTTATTTTATTTACTTATACTTGAAAAAAAAAATTCTAATCCACAACATTAAAAATGACAAATGAACCTGCCACAAACTATTAATATTTGTACCAAATAAAAAAACTGTGTATCATTTTCCATCTTGAATTTGTAAAAATATAAATTCCATCCTGCTGCTTAAAAAAGTGTGTGGGGGGGGAGGGGAAGCACAGAAATTGTGATAAAATAAATCTATGTTTCTAGAACTGGCAGTAGGTAAACTTGTTGCAGATCATTACTGCTATTGGATTATTTAGCTTTTGGTATGTTTAATATATTTGTTTGCTTAGTTATTGCATTTAACCAAGATGATGCATTTATCTATAAATGGCAGGAGCAGGAGGGAAGCGCAAGCAGAATGAATTACCAGACAGACAATATGACTGGAAGCCCTGAGTATATTTAAATGGGACCTATTAATGAGACTTAATGAAGACTAAATGTACATGGGTTTCTTTGGATTTGAAGCCCAACAGAAACATCTCTCTGAACTTATTTCATCCTTGCAAACAGACTGAAAAATATAGCTTAATACTCTAATCTAGTTTTTACCCCAATTTAGGGAGAATAAGATGAATTACAACTTCTATCTCCCTAGCCGTAAGAGCTACTGAAACTTGCACCTTGTACAGAATTCGAATTTATCCTTGCTGGCCTTATATCTATCTATTTGTCTATGTTGTGAAAATAATTTGTGAGGGAAAAGTTATGAGCACACACGCACACAATTAATTTTATAAATCTGCTATCTTGTTTTAGGGGCACATAATTAACTAATCGTTATTCATTGAATTGATCTTAAAAAAAATTCCTGGCATATTGCTTTTTTCAGAATGCAACTACTGACTGGCGTACAGACAGGATAAACACACAAATGTCAGGAGAACAAACATTGCTAGAATTTGCTTCAAAGAGAGAAGGAGAGAGTTGATGAAATAGGGAAAGTGTACAAAACACAGAAATGTTAAGTATGTTTATGATGCCCAATCTTTGTTTTTATACGAGACTGCCTTAATTTCAGGGTTGTTTTCCTTGTGGGTAAATTCAGCAGTAATAATAACAACACATGAACCAGAATGGAGAGAAAAGAGATAGAAAGAAAAGAACAATTCTGTTTCTGTTGACTGGCTTATTGAAGTATATATGCTGCATAATGCATTTCCGGTGGATTCAGAGACAGAAATGATGGTTTTCTATTTTTCTTCAGAACCAGAGACTTCAGAACATCAGGACACAACGGATGCTAAAACATCAGAAAATAGTTTTTATTTAAATGTGGTGAATTCTTTTCCTAGCAAATTCAAGAAATTTTATTCAGATTTTAAGTAAACCCAATGATAATAACTATTCATGACTATTTTTTATCAATAGATTAATATTGTAAGAATTTTCAAGGCAGGTTGAAAGTAGGAGAAAAAAAACAGAGGAAAATGGACTAATTGTGCCAAAATTAAACCTTTCTAACATACTATTATTTCAGTGGAAGAATTAATAACATAGATAAATCTGCATTCTCTTGTATATATGAGGCATTCCACTATACAGCTTTTTTGTACATCATAAAAGATGACCTTGTTAACAGCTGCAGCGTTCTAATAGAAAGTATGAGGAACAAATAATTTGGTGGTGCAAATGCTTGCACAAATATGCAGAAGCTCTTTTCTGTGACATTTTAATCTTTTAGATAAAGATCACCATTGATTTCAGTTGATTACCACCCTAATGGTGCCTTTATTGATCAGTAATGAACTGAAATACATGCTATTCATTAATTTGTCATCTTTAGCAAAAATGTTCAGAATATCTAATAGAATTAAAATGGCAACAAAATTAATTTTTCAGTATAAAATGGTAATTATTTGAAAACTTTAGCCTTAATCTAGTTTCTACAAGAAATAGGGGGGTCTCTGGAATGGAGTTAAAAATTCAAGATGCAGCCACAACAGCATGATCACCTCTGTTACATCATCCCAACTGCACAACAAAGCAAAGTAATATTTTCTCCAAATTCTAATACAATTTTGTTCTTTCTAGGATTTAGGCATCTTGCCTGAAACTCAAGGCATGTAGCTATTTTGCAAAGCTTCTGTTGGCAAAACTGAAATGATTCCGCAATATGAATTTTGACTTTTAATTATGTGAGTACTTTCTTAATGCAGTTTATTATCTTTTGGATCATACTTATTCATTTTAAATTGGGAGAAAAAAAACTTTTTTTAAAAAACCCCCGAAGCCTTACCATTTTCCTGAGTGAAGCAAATCAAAGCCTTCGTTGATTTTTTCAAATGGTAAAGTGTGAGTAATTAATGGATCTAGGATAAACGTTTTGTTCATGTAATCTGAGACCAATTTAGGAATCGAATCTTTACTTTTCCAATCTGAAAGTAAAAAAGGACATAAAGATACTGCATTAATTTTACAATATCATTTAAAAAAACACTTTTCTTGAGGCAGTGACTCTTAATAAGAGTTGATATTAGATGATCTTCTGATCCCAGAGTTGAGGAATTTACTGTCAATTGAGGAATTTACTGTATAAATTACAGACGTTTTTCTGCAATGAATAACCTATGGACTCTGTTCAAATTTCCATGATCCCATCTATTCCTCATTTGTAAAATCCTGGTTCTCAGAGGGCAAAGAATAGAAACCAACTCATTCTAAAGCTCTTGCTTCAAGATTTGTTCCCATGAACTGAAGAAAGTATTAGAGGATCTACAGTATTATCATGTCTGTCTTTTGTAAAGATGACTGGACCATCATTGAAAATCAACCTTCCTTAACCTAGTGTTCTCCATAAGTGTTGGACTTTAAAGATCATGTTGTCTGAGAAATGCTAGTATTCAAGTTTAGCATTTCTGGAGAATACTAAATTGGGGAAGGTGGATATAAATAAGTAAATAGTAGCAGCAGTAGAACAACCATATGGCTGCATTAGGAATTTAAGAACTCTAATTCTATTTCTTATGGATTTTTCTCTGCCTCTCAGTACAGTTTGCATTTATATAGTGCAGGAGATGAATCATTGGTGCTCTGAATTAAAAAAAAAAAATTAAAGCTATGAAAGGGGCATTTGGGATGCTCCCCAGACTCAGTACTCACTTCCTCTGCAACTACTATTAACTTTTCAGGCAGTTTATTGAAAAAAACAAACAAACTGATTCATGTTTTTTTCCCTGCAACGATAATATCTTGAAAGATAGCATTTTTAGAAAATCAGAAAATGTTTAAACCCCTTTTCCAACAGCTCTGCTACTTGACTTAATATGGTCTTCTCCCCATTATTTCTGCTTTTAAGTTTTTAAAAACATCCCCTGAAGAAGTCAGATATTCTAGAGTCATGCTGAAATTCTGATAAAGTTTCTGAATCCTGTTTTATATAATTACTATTTTATGTAATCATTTCCAAAATTTAATATTGTGTTTGGACTTTGGTGGTCCTTTTGGTAACTAGTTACAGGAGAAACAGTACTCTGCTGGTTGTTGGGGGTCCTCCAACTCTTCAAACCAACAGTGTAAGAGAAATGATAAGAACTCTCATCTAACTTTTCTTGAGGGGCAATTGGGCTTGTGAGTAATAGCAGAATTACATCTAATTCTATAATTCAGTGACAAAAGATCAAGTAAAGAGTGGGACAATGTTTTGGTAGTAGGAGGCTACATCTCATGGAGTATGGGTAAGGATTGATGTGATAATGATGATGCACAATGGATGGTATGTATAATATAGATTGACAAAGATGGGATTTTCATTTTTTCTTTCCACATTTGTTTCCGGGTAGAGTTCAGTAATTATATTCATTTCTTAAAGTATGTTAAATCTATTAACATTAACAGTTTCATGTGTCTCTTGCCTCAAAGTGATAGGAAACCATATCATTACTTTTAAGCAAAAGTGGTCTGTCAAGATTCCAGTGACTGCAAACAAAATGTTAGGAACAAATCACAATATCTACATACAATGTACTATGACAGAACATTAGATGCAATGTATGGATGAGCATCTTCCTCATCGAGTGCTTTCCAACTATGCTGAAACACAACTACCATTGCTGCAAATAAAACCATAGACAATACCACTTGGGGATGATAGAAACTGAAGACTAAGTGTTTGGGAAAAGATGATACACAGAATTTCAGCTGCTTAGGTGATGAAATCATTGACAGTTTGTAAAGGAAGTTGGTCTTGATCAACTATTATAGGTCACAATATACTGGTAATATTGAGCTTTCCATAGTATAAGGTACAACACAGAGAGAGAATGTATTAATAGGCAAATAAGGGCCGTACCTCCAAACAGAGTTCCTTTCCAAGTGCGGCCTGAGAAGAGAAGTCCTGGATGAAAGTTAACGTTAGAATCCGAAGGGGGTACTCCCACAATGATGCACTTTCCATAATTTATTTGGCAGGAATTCAAGGCAGACAGCTAAAGTCAACCCAAAGATATAAGCATGAATCAAGTGAAAGTCAATGTTTACCATTCCAACCACAATTTTTCTTCCACTGACATTTCACATAGGATTTTATTGTTCCAAATGTATCAATAATAACATCTCCTCTTTTGTGTCAATGCCATCCTATGATAGGTTACCATAACGTTTTCCATTCTCTTTTTCTAGGCCAATGCTGGGTGTAGGGGCAGATGGCTACAGTAGGGATGTGAAACTTCCCTTTTGTGAACATCTTTGAGTTACATTGACTTACCTCCACTTCTTATTTCTTGATTAATGGATGGAACAAGAGAATTCCTGATCATTCTATGAAAGGGACCCATGTTCCCATAAAATCTCTTACTAATGTTACTTTTTTCCTAGAGCATAGGAAGGGCCAGCAATAGTTCATCTCCAAGATTAAAATATCATGAAATCATTAAAATCCTGCAAAAGTTTGGTGTTCTCATCCTGAGATCTCTATGTAAGAAAGGAGAAACTTTACAAATTGGACCTCATAAGATTTTAAAATGTTTTATATATATACATATATATTTTAATGTTATATTTTCTTTTTTTTTTACAAATATAATTTTTTTAAATTGTTTTTTAATTAAGCCTATATTCTGCTCTGGGAAGCTCGGGGGGGGGAAGGGGGGGTGTTTGGGTGGGGGTTGGGGAAGGGGGGTTTTGTTGTGTAATGTTTAGGGTTTTTTTTTGTATATGTTGCTTTTTGTTTTCGTATTGTTTTGTTTTGTTCTTTTTGTAAAACTTATAAAACTTTTTAATAAAAAAAAAGATTTTAAAATGTTTTAATTGCTAGGTTCAGTGGGTACATGAATGATTTTGCAAAGATGATTTGACACTTATGAACATAACCCTTTCAAGCCTTTTGCTAAATATTAAATCAGGCAAAGTCTCTAAAGAACAAAGAGGTTTTGTATAACATAAGGCAAAATCCCACTGGTTTGTCTAGTTGTGTGTGTGTGTGTGTGTGTGTGTGTGTGTGTGTGTGTGTATGCATGCTTTTGAATTAGTCTTGATTCTTGGTCTTGATTGGCTGCACAACCCCTGCAATTTTCACAGGGGTTTGCTATTGCCTTCTTCTTGTTAGGGCTCATCCCTAAGAAAGGACTAGAATTCATGGTCTCCTCTATTATGGTGCCTGAACCACTAAACCAAACTGGCTCTCCTTATCATGTGACTCCTTTACCAAATTGAAAAGTGCAGTACATGCTACTATATGTATATGCTATATGTAATGAGATGCAGAAGTCATACAGCAAACTGTTTCTTTCCCTGCAATCACCCCATTGAGATAAAAATAATCAGACCCTATTTCTGGTTTCCCCAGATGAAACCCCTGCTTCATTTTGTTACTTAGTACCCTACAATTACTGCAATGGAATAAGGCCCACAAAAAAAGTCGGCTTTTAGTAAGAGATAAATTCTTTCCCATGCCCCTCTTAGTTCTTCCATTGTGGTAGTACCTTAATTCACATACCATGACTTCAGGGTTTCCAATGGCTTCAAAGGAATATTCTACTCCTTCACCCCCAGTCAAGTCAAAGATAACTTCATTGATGGGTTTCTGGTAATCCCGGGGATCGATACAGTCTGTGACACCAAATTCTTTAGCCTTGGGGAATTTATCCTTGTTCGTATCGACTCCAATGATTCGGGAAGCTCCAGCTGCCTTGCAGCCCATGACTACTGAGAGACCAACTCCTCCGAGTCCAAAAATGGCACAGGTAGAACCAGGCCTCACCTTTTTTTTTTAGCATAAAAATAAAAAATGGAGCATTATGGTTATATACTAACTCCAGTACAAGGTTAATGAATCTTTTTCAGGCTAAAAATATACCTGGAATTTTGAGAGCATCTCATGTGTATTATCACAAAATGGATACCATGGAGAGAATTGTACTTTCATTGAATGGCTACTATAAAATGTGACCAGTCACAAATAAATATATTCTACAAAGCTAACTAGAGAAAATGCTTTCCATCAATATCTCTGATCTCCCCAAAAGGTTCTCTTCTACCTTTCAACTGGTCTTTTCCCTGGCAGGTTAGTACACCTTTAAAGTGAACACTGGTCTGCAGCCACCAACATTTTTATTTTCTAGAAATGTCTAATTCCACCATGGAATTAAAATGAAGTCAAGCCATTCTGAGAAGATGTATGGCACTATAGCTTCATAAGTGACATGTCCTCAAACAGTGGCTCTCCACCTATGGCCCTCAGATCTCTGGGGGGGCCAGGATGTTGTCACAGAGGGTCTGTAAAAGCTTGAAGAAATGTTGTGACTTAAATCTTAAGTCTTGGGGATCTGTGGTCACAAAAGGTATTTAATAGGGGTCCATGGTGAAAAAAAGGTTGAGAACCACTATCGTAGAACACGGAGATATTAGAAGCTTACCTTTGCAGCATTTAAAGCAGCACCATAGCCAGTAGAAAACCCACAGCTAATAAGGCACACTTTTTCAGGAGGTGCTGCAGCATCAATTTTGACAACCGAATACTCGTTTACCACCGTGTATTCTGTGAAAGTGCTGGTACCAGCAAAATTGTGCAGTACTGTTCCTTTGTGAGTGAATCTACTGGTGCCATCCTCCATTAATCCAGACCCTGTGTGAAGGCTTAAAAATATGGGAGGGAAAATCAGAATTATTGATCATGGTTACCATGCAGGACAACAGTAGTGCTACAAGTCAGAACAGAAACTCACTCATTCTTCTTGCACAGGTTGCCTCTAGGATGCAGGCAAGTACTGCATTGGCCACATTGTGGGAGAAAAATCGGAATGACTTTGTCTCCTGAAAACGAGAAAAAGATATTATCAATGGGCCTGAAGCTTCCAGAGAGCTTAGAGGCAGTATTTTATCAGCACAATAGTTGGCAGGATTTTACCAGCAAAACAGTCAATTCCTTTCTGATTCAAGATTGTTACAATTGGATTTTAAAATTTGTTACTTAAACCAGAGGTCCCCAATCCCTGAGCTGTGGACCAGCACTGGTCCATGGCCAGCCAGGAACCAGGCCATGCAAAGCCAAGCCCCCTCCACACATGCATGTGATGCAGGCAGCATATGAAAACATGGTCTGCCGAAAAAACGCTTTTCACAGAACTGGTCCCTGGTGTCCCTGGTTGGAGGCTGCTGACTTAATGAAGATTATGAACATGTGATAGACATAGTGTTAAAATTTAGTTGCTTCTCACAGAAACTAAATAGCAAAGATATTTTTTATTATTATTATGGATCATCGCACAGTCAGCCAGATGTTCAGACTGGATTTGGCATTTTGTCTACCTATCAAGTCCTTACCCAGGACCTGGGATAGGCAGATGTGGATGTTTGATGGTATTACAGATATCGTCGCAGGATGGAAGCAGTTCCTAGTAAGGCCGCCTTTTGGAATTGACTAATAGCGAATTTGTCAATGCCAATGGTGTTCAAGTGGTGCTCCAGTTGTTTTGGGATTGCACCCAAGGAGCCTATTACTATTAGTACTAACCTTGCTTGCTTTTGCCACAGTCTTTCTATTTCTATTTGTAGGTCTTTGTATTTTGTTATCTTCTCCAGTTCTTTCTCGTCTATTCTGCTGTCTCCAGCCACTGCCATGTCTACTATCCAGACTTTTTTGTCTTTCTTATCGACAATTGTTAAGTCTGGGGTGTTATGTTGCAGGTGCTTGTCTGTTTGAATTCTGAAGTCCCAGAGCAGTTTAATTTTATCATTTTCTATGACTTTCTCTATTTTATGATCCCACCAGTTTTTGCTTACAGGCAAATGATATTTTTTGCAGATCTTCCAATGCACCATTGTTGCTACTTTGTCATGCCGCTGCTTGTAGTCAGTCTGTGCAATCTTCTTGCAACAGCTCACCAGGTGGTCCACTGTTTCTTCAGCTTCTTTGCATAGGCGGCACTTACTGTCTGTTGCTGTCTTCTCAATTTTGACTTTATATGCATTTGTCCTTAAGGCTTGGTCTTGTGCAGCCAGAATTAGTCCCTCGGTCTCTTTCTTCAATTTTCCTGCTCTTAGCCATTGCCAGGTCTTGTTATTATCTGCTTTCCCAGCTATTTTTTTCATGTATTGGCCATGTAGTGCTTTGTCTTCCCATGCCTCTATTCTGTTCTTCATTTGGTCTTTCTTGTAGGCCAGTTTGGTCTCTCCAGTAGTCAGTAAGCCTTCCTGATATACTAATTTCAGTGCATCTTCATCATTGTTCTTCAGATATTCTTCCAAAGCCATTTTTTCTTCTTCAACCATCTGATGTACTTGTAGCATTCCACGCCCACCTATTTGCCTTGGTAGATAAAGTATATCAATGTCACTGCGTGGATGAAGGGCATGATTCATTGTCATTATTTTTCTGATCTTCCTATCCATTGCTTTTAGTTCTGCTTGATCCAGTTCACTATTCCAGCTGTGTACCTAATGACTGGAATTGCCCAAGTGTTGATTGACTTTATGGTATTTCCTCCATTGAGTTTGGACTTTAAGATCTTTTTCACTCTCTTGATGTATTCACCTCTAATCTTTTTCTTGACTTCAGTGTGCTTGATGTTGTCAGATTGAAGAATACCCAAGTATTTGTAGTAATCTTCCTCATCCAGACTCTTAATGTTATTTTCGTGGGGCATCTTGATTCCTTCAGTTTATATTATTATTATTATTATTATTATTATTATTATTATTATTATTATTATTGATCATCGCACAGTCAGCCAGATGTTCAGACTGGATTTGGCATTTTGTCTACCTATCGAGTCCTTACCCAGGACCTGGGATAGGCAGATGTGGATGTTTGATGGTATTACAGATATCGTCGCAGGATGGAAGCAGTTCCTAATAAGGCCGCCTTTTGCAATTGACTAATAGCGAATTTGTCAATGCCAATTGTGTTCAAGTGGTGCTCCAGTTGTTTTGGGATTGCACCCAAGGAGCCTATTACTATTAGTACTAACCTTGCTTGCTTTTGCCACAGTCTTTCTATTTCTATTTGGTATTTCCTCCATTGAGTTTGGATTTTAAGATCTTCTTCACTCTCTTGATGTATTCACCTCTAATCTTTTTCTTGACTTCAGTGTGCTTGATGTTGTCAGCTTGAAGGATACCCAAGTATTTGTAGTACTCTTCCTCATCCAGACTCTTAATGTTATTTTCGTGGGGCATCTTGATTCCTTCAGTTTTCACTATTTTTCCTTGTTTGATAGTAAGTGTGGCACATTTGTCCAAGCCAAACTCCATTACAATATCTTGGCTATATATACGGACAGTGTTGAGCAGCGATTCTATTTCAGATGATGTTTTTCCATACAGCTTCAGATCATCCATATAAAGGAGGTGGGATAGTCTGGCAGATGTTTTTGATGTTTGATAGCCATGTCCTGAGTTATTCAGTATTGTTGACAGAGGAAACAGTGCAATAACAAATAGTAATGGTGATAATGAATCTCCTTGAAATATTCCTCTCTTGATATTAACCTCTCCCAGCCTCTCACCATTGATCTGCAACTGTGTCTTCCATTGTGCCATCGATCTTTGCACAAATTTTCTGATGTTTCTACTGACTCCTGTTATTTCTAGGCACTTTATTATCCAATCATGTGGCAGAGAGTCAAATGCCTTTTTGTAGTCAATCCATGCCACATTCAGGTTGGTCTTCCTTCTCTTGCAGTTTTCCAAGATCATTTTGTCTATTAGGAGTTGATCTTTTGTTCCTCTGCTATTGGGGCGGTTTCCTTTCTGCTCAGGTGGAAAGAGATTGTTTTCAACTAGATGCTGTTGTACTGCATCAGCTACTACACCAGTTAGTAATTTGAAAGTTGTTGGTAAGCAGGTAATTGGCCTGTAGTTGCCTGGTGTTGCCCCTTTTGCTGGATTTTTCATTATTAGGTAGGTTTTCCCAGTTGTTAGCCATTTTTCAATTTCTCCTCCTTGTAGTATATTGTTGAACTGCTTGGCAATGAGTGGGTGTATAACAGTTAGATGTTTCAACCAAAACCCATGCAGTTCATCTTCACCTGGTGCTGACCAATTTTTGATTTTCCTTGCTCTTTTTTCTACCATTTTTGTTGTTATTACTAGTTCTTTCATTTCAACTTCTGTTTTATTTGCATCCATCTCTTTTAACCAAGCCGCATCCTTGTTGTATTTCTTTGGGTTATCCCATATCTGCTTCTACAACTGCACTGTTTCTTCCTTGTCAGGTACTGACTGATTCCTTGCAGTTTCTCCATTGATGGATTGGTAGAAACGTTTCTGATTGGATTGAAATTGGAGGTTCTGCCTATAGTTTGCAATTCGAGCTTCATATCTACTGATTTTCCTGGCTATAGCTGTTATTTGTTGCTTTATTATTTCCAGTGCTTCCTTGATCTTCCTTGTTTCTAAGTGGTATTTCTTGATTAGGTATTCTTTGGTCTTCTTGTTCTTCAGCTTCTTTTCTTTCATCTGTTCTAGCTTGCTTGCATGTGATCTTAACTTGCTGATCTTATTTTCTAGTCTAACCTTCCATTTTTGTGGTGCACTGTTTGTTTGTTTTTCTTTTTTGTTGATTTTACATCCCAGGTATTCTGTTATAACTGCAGCTGTGCTGTACATTAGTTGGTTTGTTTCTTGCAGTGAATTGGTGCTTATACTTGCTATTGCAGTATTTGCATCTTTTAATGCTTGTGCTAGCTGTTTCTTTGGAACAAGCTTCAATGCAGGCAGCCTTATTCTGTTGTTTTTGTGCTGTTCTAGATGCTCAGTTATTCTTTGTTTCAATTCTTTTATTTCTTTAGTTAGAGGGTTTTGTTCTTCCTGAGGAAGAGATGCCTGGTTTCCAAATGAGAACAGTTGTATATCTCTGCTGGATTCCTTCATTGCCAACTCCCCCTGGTTTGCCTCTACATTCTGAATTACTTCTGGTAAGGCTTTGATTTCTTTGCCCTGGGTAAACCTTTGCAGTTCGTCCAATTCTGTTTCTGTGAATACTTTATTTCGTGTTATAAATCGGCGTTGATCTGCTAGTCTCTGTTCTGTTATTTCTGATTCTGGATGTTGTTCTTTCCAGAACTGGTGCATTCGTTTTAGATATCCTCTTCTTGTTGGACTTGATCTGTAGTAACAGATCATTATTTCTTTGTTTTCCATCACTGTGTATCTGCGATGGGTAAACACCTTTTCTTCCAGTAGTTCTGCAGCTGCTGGCCCTGGTTGCTCAGCCAACAGTCCTGAGTCCTGTAACCCATTTTTCACCAGATATCCAGGAACTCCAATATCTAGTGCGGACCTTGTTAACCCGGGCGACGTCCGAGCCGGTATGGCATTCTGAAATTTACGTCTCACCATATTTTTTATGGGAGAGACACTCTTTGTCTGACTCCTCTGATGAGACCTGTCCAGTATGGTTGAACCTCTGGCATAGCTCTCATCTTCCTCAGAGTACACAAGCCCACAACCACGTCAAGGTAGTGTCTCACTGGGGGTCAAGGTAGTGTCTCACTGGGGGATTATTATTATTATTATTATTATTAAACTAAGAGTTAGTTCTGGAGAGAACAATGCTTGTGGTTTATTGTAGGATATAGTTGAGGAGATACTACTAATCTATTGCTAGTATTTTCATTTAGAATTCCAATAGCATCCCTAACTTTCTGAACTCAGGTAATCCTCGACTTATGACCACAATGGAGCCCAAACTTTCTGTTGCTAAACAAGAGAGTTATTAAATGAGTTTTGCCCCATTTTATGACCTTCCGTGCCACATTTGTTAAGTGAATTACTGCAGTTGTTAAGTTAGTAACACAACTGCTAAGTGAATCTGGCTTTCCCATTAACTTTGCTTGTCAGAAGGTCACAAAAGGTGATCACATGACTCCGGGACATTGCAACTGTGATAAATATCTGCCAGTTGCCAAGCGTCTGAATTTTCATCATGTGACCATGGGGATGCTGCAACTGTCATAAGTGTGAATAACAAGTCATGTCACTTTTTTTGGTGCCATTCTAACTTCAATTGATACTGAATGAATGGTTGTAAGTTGAGACCTACCTGCACAGCATTTTTAATTTCTAGTGTTGGTTACCCTATTGATTTTATTCTTATTACATCATTTTTCATTCCTAATGGTTGATTACCCTATTGATTTTATTCTTACTGGGAAAAGTTTTGCACTGATACTTCTGAATTTACCTGGTTTCATACTGGTAACACCTTCCCCCACACTCTCAACCACACCAGCTGCTTCATGACCAAGAATAATAGGTAATTTTGCCTTTAGTGCACCACTTACAACATGGTCATCTGAGCGACAAATTCCAGAAGACAAAATCTAGAAGAAATGTAGAAGATAACTCATCAGAGTATATTATTTTAGGCTTAAATTACAGTAATGTAATTTCTATGTTGAATCTTTGAACCTCAATTTTCAGGCAGAGCTATAAGTGCAATGATTAAAATTGGTAACTTCCTGTAGAAAAATGCAGTTAAAGTTTTGTTTTTTTTTTTTTAAAAAAACAAGTATTGGAATTATTTAAAGATTACAAAAATTACTCCTAAAACGTCATTCATTTTAAAAAGTGAGATAACAAAAATGAGAGACAGTTTGGCCTAGTGGTTAAAGCTCCAGGCTGGAGACCAGGAGACCATAAGCAATATTCTCACCTCAGGCATGAAAGCTGGCTGAGAGACTTTAGGCCACTAATGTCAGCTTATAATATCAGGCTCAGTTGACAAGTCAAATCCTGCTGAAACTAACAGATCAATATTTGATTGATCCCAAAAAGGGGATCCTGCACTTGTGAACAAATGCTAGAAAAGAAAAAGATTTTTTTTTAAAAGAAAATGGTCTTAAACAGCATTTTTGCCTAGCATTGAAAAGTAATGATTAGCCTTGGTAAACCTCCCTGATGAAAAATTTCTAGGGGTGTGACACAATATATATTCTATCACATAAATGTCAACTCATACAACAGAAACACCTGGAAGAGGACATCAGCAGGTGTCTTTAATATAGGGCCAAGCACCTGTTGGAGAAGTCATCACTTAAGAAGTGGCTGACATCCAGGTGATTTAACGTATTGCAAATATCCTAGCACAGGGGTAGGCAACCTTGGCTCTTTTACAACTTGTGGACTTCAACTCCCAGAATTCCTGACTCAGCATGGGTATTGAAGTCCACAAGTCATAAAAGAGCCAAGGATGCCTACCCCTGTCCTAGTACCTTAAACGCATTAACAGCAAGTTGAGTCTTTGAATAAGAACACAACATTTTCTCAATAACTGGCTTCAGTTCATATTCTAGGTGCTGCCTTATCTACTAAAAGTTCTGCTTTCAAGAAAGTCCATTGGTAAGCTAGTTGAGGAGATACTGTGTGACATGACAAATACACATCTGGCTTAAAAATTATACTCAAAGTGTATTCCTAATCAAAATGGACCAGTATAGATAGTCCAGGAATTAGAAACTAAATCCTATGAGAAGTTAAAAGAACTAAAAATGTTTACCTTTGAGAAGAAGATTGGTAGAAGGACTTACAATAGCACTTCTTAAATAATAGACAAGATGTTACAGAACGGACAAAGCTTGTTCTCTCTCATTACAGGACTCAAAATAATAAATTTAAGTTACAAGAAGCAAGTTCTGATTGAATGTCAGGACAAACAGCAGTTTGTTATTACAATTTATATCTAGAGATATGGCAAGCCCTCCTTTGCTTGCTATATATTAACAGAGGCTAGACCAGTGGTTCTCAACCTGTGGGTCGGGACCCCATTTGGGGTCGAACGACCATTTCACGGGGGTTGCCAAACAACGCAGTAAGCCATTTTTTTCCCCTTTTCCTTAGCTGTGCTACTCCCTTTTATTCTATTGGTTTTGAAAGCCAATAGAATAGACTCTCTTGAATAGAGTCTAATTCTATTGGCTTTCAAAAGCCAATAGGAATTGTCCAGGCTGTCTCTGCCCTGCTGAGCCCGCCAAAAGTCCTATTCTGCAAACGGTGCTGCACCAGTTGAGTAGTCCTCGACTTACGACCGGTTGGGGGTCGCGGCATTAAAAAGGTTGAGAACCACTGGGCTAGACAATAATTCGTGAGTCACATTTTACTTTGGATTTTTAATTCTGATCCATACACTTAACTCAACATTAAGAAAACCAAAATCATGGCATCCGGCCCTCTCAATTCCTGGCAAATAGATGGGGAAGAAATGGAGGTAGTGACAGATTTTATTTTCCTGGGCGCCAAGATCACCGCAGAGAGGACTGCAGTCAAGAAATTAAAGTACGCTTGCTCCTGGGGAGGAAAACTATGGCAAATCTAGACAGCATACTAAAAAGCAGAGTCATCACCCTGCCAACAAAAGTGTGTATAGTCAAGGCTATGGTTTTCCCAGTTGCAATGTATGGCTGTAAAAGTTGGACCATAAGAAAGGCTGAGCGCCAAAGAATTGAGGCCTTTGAACTATGGTGCTGGAGAAGACTCCTGCGAGTCCCTTGGACTGCAAGGTTTACAAACTGGTCAGTCTTAGAAAAGATTAATCCTGAATGCTCTTTAGAAGGCCAGATCCTGAAGTTGAAACTCAAATACTTTGGCCACCTAATGAGAAGGAAGGACTCACTGGAGAAAGGCCTAATGCTGGGAAAGATTGAGGGCAATAGAAGAAGGGGACGACAGAGAATGAGATGGCTGGATGGAGTCACTGAAGCAGTAGGTGTGAGCTTAAATGGACTCCAGAAGATGGTAGAGGATAGGAAGATCTGGAGGAACATTGTCCATGGGTCACGATGGTGGGACACAACTTTGTAACTAACAACAACAAAGCACTTACTGTACTTTCCGGCGTATAAGATGACTTTCTAAAGCGTTGAAATTGGCAGCAAAGTCGGGGGTCGTCTTATACGCCGAGTTGTCTTATACGCTGGAAATTATGGTAGTTTCTGGCGTATAAGATGACTTTCTAGGCATGCAACTTGGCGCCGAAATCGGGGGTCGTCTTATACGCCAGGTTGCCTTATACGCCGGAAAATACGGTATATTATGAATTGATATGTGCTTTGTATTTTGAAACATAGCACCTATTTCCTTTGGAAGTAACACTGTCCACATATCATTTTACATACCAAAGGGGTTCCAGAGTAGATCCTCCCTAACATGAAAATATGGATCTGCAATTATAAAGAGACTCACCTCTTTCAAGCCCATTTAAATTGTGCAATCAGCCAACATGTGACATATATTGCAGCAACAGCTGATCATGCCTGTTTTACCAGATAACTGCTTAGATCTTTGAAGTGACCAGCTCACCCACATTATTTTAGCTGCACAACTAGGCAAAGGCATTCAAAGACAGGATAATGACATTGTTATGGTATCCTCATCTTCCCAATTGGAGATAAATTTGTGTCACAATAGGCAATTGGACTTCTTATCTTGTAAACTGAGGTTGTAAGGTCATATCTTACTAGCGTTGTGGTTATGGTTCCGGTGGGTGAAATCAAGTTGACAGCTGCTTGTCCAGGATTTCCCCAAACCTGAAACTGGATTTTTTATTGTCAGGGCTGCTTCAGAATGATTGTTTAGCAAGGTTGTGAAAAAAAAATCCTAGATTTTGTTGGATCACCACCACAGATTCCAAGTCTGCAGAGAGAGGAAATTGTTGTATAGTAGAATCATTTTAAGTCTGTGGTGCAGATACAGTATGTCTAAAAATCTTGCATAAGCTTTGCACCAAAGATCAAGGACTGTGGATTATGAATCTGGACATTTGTCACGTATACAGACATATTGGATCCTAGATTTGGTTGCACTGAATGCAATCTAAAAATGAGCAGAATTCTATTGGAAGATTCATATGATATATGGAAGTCAAAGTTACCATGAAGACTAAAAGTTCTGGTTTTTTAATTAATCAAAGTGTGTCATAGCTTTTGATCATGCTTAATTGCATTTTAGTAAAATGAGAAAAGCGTTATTTGAACTTGAACCTTCACAAGATGCTAGTCTCTCTTCCAGTCAGTGTCTTCTGTGGGCTTGGATACCCATGTGGAGTTCCTGAACAACTGTGCTTCTAAGGTAATCCTTAAGGGATTCTATCTGTCTCATTTTGCTTCCAGATCTTGTCCCTCATTCCCAAGAATGAAGAAACCATTCTAGATGGTACTCCTCAACATACCCCATTTGAGATGGCTGTGCGTAGATAAGAATAACTTGCATTAACATGGATTTTGGTTTATTCCCTTTACCTTGATGCGAACTTCGTGTGCTTTTGGTGGAGCTACTTCTATTTCCACAATACTAAATGGTTCTTTTTGTTTCCAGATTACTGCTGCCTTGCATTTGATTACCTAAGAAAATGGAAGCAAGAGATGATTTATTCTAAGAGAAGATACTCATTCATTGATTAATCAGATATTTATAGAAAAGCCTATTCTTCTGGCATCCAAAATACCTTTCTTCCTAGCTGACTGTTGAGCTCAGTTTTGACCAACCACGTTCTCTCTCTGACAACCCCCTTTCCTACAATCAGTCATGCTACAGAATAATCCATGTTAACAGTTCCTTTACTTCTTTCCTGTTCCATGTGTTGGCAAACTATTGAAACGTTTCTTGTTTAATTAATTAGAATGGGCTTGATTTACTTTAAAAAGAAAAGCCAGGAACCAAAGGATTGAGCTGAAGTCCACCAAATGTAAATGCCCAAGTGAGATCTGTTGAACAGAATCCCACCTCTAACCCTACCTTTAGTCTGCGCTGAAGATGGAATAAACTTTTGGAATTATGAATGGTTTTAAATGCAGAGTTTTTCAGAGTGCTACTGATAAGAAAAGTGCCAATGGTGGGTGAGTGGGGAATACAGGAAACCTTTGGAATCCATCTCAGGCAATTTGCCAACCACAGTGCATATCTCAGAAATGAATAATCACCATTAAAAGAAATAATAGTCTACTTACTTTCCCTGCAGTGTCCATCGTCCTTGATTTTGTAACAGATTTCACCTCTTCTAGGTTATTCTACTTGGTGCAAAACAGTTTGCCTTCAAAATATGGATAGCAAAACGCTTACTTCCCTTTTAGCTAACTGTAGTACTTTCCCAGCTCCACCCAACAAACTTAGCCACTCCTTTACTTTGACTAATTTGCTCAGGTTGTTTTGTAACATCAGACAATTAATCACACATAGATTACCAGAAATTTACAGCTTCAGTGTAGATATTAACAGGACAAGCAATGCATAAAGGGTTGTATTACGTAAGTCCAAGAAACAGCAGTTAATACAGGCATGTGTGAAAAATGCAGGGTTTACATTGGCAATCTCAAGAGAAAACATAGAAAACAAACTGCCAGTTATATTATGATTACAGATGGAATAATGTATTTTCTGGTTCTTGACTTTTAAAAAAAAATAATTGTAGAATTGTAAAAGATGGTGATTGGAGAGCTCTAGCAACTTTACTTTGAGAATATGCTATGACAATGAGTTTTTTTACATTATAAGAAATGGTGACTATTGATTATTATGCATGGCATGGTGTGGAGTGACAGTGAGTGAACGCATACAAAGCAAAGAAAAAAAATCTCCCTCTTTCATAACAATAAAACTTAGAGTCATTTGATGAAATTAAATCATAGCTGTATCAGGACTTACTAAAATAAATGCCACTTCATGCTGTGCATAATTAAGCTTCTGGAATGACTCCAAAAATAGTAATGGCCATAAAATGGAAGACTTGAAAGCAATATTTATGGTTTATGACCTACATAGAGAATTGAGACTTTGCCTTGTTATTTTATAGAGCGGAACACTACTCTCAATACTTCTATTTGAATTCCAGTTGCTGACAGGGTGCAATTGCCCTCGTGAGTTTTAAAGGGTACATTTGGTTGGCTGCTGTGGAGACCAAAGGTTATACCTTTGAACTTTTTTTCTTAAATGATAGGAAAAAATATAGGAATTGTAAAGAGGTGATTAAAGACAAAGTTTGTATCTAATATACAACACATCAATCATATTGAAATGGCTTATATGGTTGCAAGGTAGAAGCTGAAATGGTAAAGAGACCATAAAATGCAATGTTCGTCCTTTAATAAAGGAAAGGAGAGTGGCATCACAATTGCACTACCTTCCAGTTTTGTTGTTTTATTTTATTTTTATAGATGCACTTATATCCCAAACGTTTCCAGCCTCAGTTTAAAACCCTGACCCCTGCTTTTAAGCCTCAATTATTTGCTACCGGTATCATCTCTAACTTCCATTATTTTATTTTTACCTTAAGGTTATGGAGAATGGTCTTTTTGCATGTTGACTCATCTTGTGAAAGTGGCAGAAATGTTTTAATTTTTGCTAGCTTTTTTGTTCTCCGATATTCTATAGATAGCAAAAGATTTGCTGGATGACTGAGACAAGAGAGAGAAGAACCTTTAATACATTGTGCATATTACTACAGTGACTTCTTTGTTTTCACTCTGGTTTAAACAGAAGACATGGATAGAAAGAAGCTGCTTTTCCATCCTCTCTATTTATCTCAGCTATTTTAAAGCCTCCACAGAAAGCCCATTAAGAAATAATGACTAAGACACCAGAAGCAGAATAAATGTTGTGTCATCCTGATAACATTTCAAAGTTTCTGGAAACTAGACAAACATTATTAACCCAAGACCTTTGACCATGTTGTGTAACATATTGACTTTAGAGTAAAATTGATGATTAAGTTAGGCCAGCTGACATTGCTAGTAGGTTACTTATGAAGGGTGGATCTAAATTCCATGTGCAGTTGGTATATACTTATACATTTGTCTTCACTATTCAGCAAGTAAGGAGAATCTATTCAGGAGACTTTAATAATAATATGCTATATGGAAATGACCCACCCTCAATGGACCACATTTTTCATCTTGTGTTAGTTCTTAGGTATGTCACTTCTTTAAAACAAAGTCTTGCCTCCCAAGTAACATGGAAAGGATATGGGAAGGAATATGTGCAACAGCTTGAAACTGCATACTCATCAAAGTTATTTTTTAATAGGCAACCGAGAAGCCTCTGTGACCTATGAGAATCTTCAATTATTTCTTGCTGGTGAATCCTATACTTAGCATCATTAAAAGGAAAAAAAATCAGAAAGGACATAGGATGTGTTGGGAGAAGAAGCATGAAGGAGTTCCTAAGAACATACTCATGTGAGCATAACTAGAACTGAATGAAAGTCATAATTCCAACCTGATGGCCAAAAGCTATTGGGAATCCTCACCATGGTCATTTCAACAACTATTGGTAATGCATCTCCCTAGATTCCCACACAGCTTGGCTGTGTTGAAAATGCTGCACTTCTTGAAAACCTGGTTATAAATCAATGTTCTCAACCTTCCTAATGCCGCAACCCTTTAATACAGTTCCTCATGTTGTGACACCCAACCATAAAATTATTTTCGTTGCTACTTCATAAATGTAATTTTGCTACTGTTATGAATCATAATGTAAATATCTGATATGCAGGATGTATTTTCATTGTTACAAATGGAAAAAAGTGATAAAGTACAGGTAGTCCTTGACTTATGACCATTTTTCACACTTATGACCATTGCAGCATCCCCGGGGTCATGTGATTTACATTTTGATGCTTGGCAACTGATTCATATTTATGATGGTCACATTGTTCCAGGGTCATGTGATCGCCTTTTGCAACCTTCTGACAAGCAACGTTAATAGGGGAAACCAGATTCACTTAACAACCATGTTACTAATTTAATCTCTCTCTCCCTCTTTCTTTTTCTCTCCCTCTCTCTCCCTCTTTCTTTCTCTCTCTCCCTCTCTCCCTCTCTCTCTCTCTCTCTCTCTCCCTATTTCTTTCTCCCTCTCCCTCTTTCTTTCTCTCTCCCTCTCTCCCTTTCTTTCTCTCTCCCCCTTTCTCTCTCCCTCTCTTTCTCTCTCTCCCTCTCACTCCCTCTCCCTTTCTTTCTCTCTCCCTCTTTCTCTCTCTCCCTCTCTTTCTCTCTTCCTCTATTTCTCTCTCCCTCTCTTTCTCTCTCCCTCTCTCCCTCCCTCTCCCTCTCTTTCTCCCTTTTTCTCTCCCCCTCTCTCTCCCTCCCTCTCTCCCTCTTTCTTTCCCCCCTCTCTCTCCCTCTATTTCTCTCTCTCCCTCCCTCTCTCCCTTTCTCTCTCCCTCTTTCTCTCTGTTTCTTTCTCTCTCCCTCCCTCTCTCTCTCCCCCTCTCTCTCCCTCTGTCTCCCTTTCTTTCTCTCTCCCTTTCTCCCTCTTTCTCTTTCTCTCTCTCCCTGTCACTCTCTCTTTCTCTCTCTCCCTCTCTCTATTTCTCTTTCCTTCTTTCTCTCCCTCTCTCTATTTCTCTCTCCCTCTCTTTCTCTCAAAGATCCTTAAAATCCTTAAAAGCTATGCTTGGGTGGAAGACTTTTTCTTTTACAGATGGGGTGGGTTGGCAGACAAGTACTCAAAAAAAAAAAAAGGAAAAAAAGTGCGAATAGGCGTCCAGTAGCTAGCTTGAAGTTTGAACGACTTCTTTCTCTTGCCACCAGCTTCTAGGAGGAGCAAAAGAAATCCAGCACTGCAATCAGGCGCCGTGAACTGGCCATTCCAGGGCTTCCTGCACCGGCTGACTTAGTTGTCTGCAACCTCCTGTTGTCGCTTGAGCATGGTCGCCGGCGGCGGGGAGCATGTCAGCTTCCATTGGGGACCACGGCAGTGATTCTATGCCACGGAGGCTTGAGGCGTGGGATACAGAGTGGCGCGGTGCTGGGGAGGCAGCAGGACAGGGGGGAGGGGTTACCTGCATCCTGCTGGCCGAACTCTGGAAGCCTGCCTGAATGAAGAATTTTAGGGGCAGTTGAAAGCAAGACAGGTTCCTAAGACCATCGGAAATATGTGTTTTCCGATGGCCTTAGGCGACCCCTGTGAAAGGGTCATTCGATCCCCAAAGGGGTCATGACCCACAGGTTGAGAACCGCTGCTATAAATCTTGGTAATTCAGAATTACTCTGTTCTGTAGCTCCACCTCAGTTCAACTTCTCTCCTGCAGCTGAATTGAGTAAAGTCCAGCGTGGCTGGGAATTTCTGGTTCACTCTGTCTTCCAGGGTTTCTTCTCTATCTGCAGGTGGCAACTTGCAATGATGAGGCTGGTATTCTTGCTGCAAAAATAAATGTAGCAAGATAATGTCAAGGATGGGCACGTTAGCTCTCTGTCAGTTGAAAGATCTCCTGGTTGGTTCATGGGGAATTCTGAGCACTAGGTTTTTTTCTGTATATAATTTTTATTAAAAAAAATTAAACAAGAAGATAAAAACTAACACAAACTAACATAAAGGAAGAAAAAAGGAAATAAATCAAAGAAAAAGCAAAAAGTGCAGGGAAAGAAAAAAGTTAAGAAAAATAAAAAGGGAAGGAAAGAAAAAGAGTATAAAGAAATGGTTTGTGATATTCTTCACAGCAGTAAGTACAAATATATTTTACCTCTCTCTAAAGATAGATCACATTACTTTTCTTTCTATAATCTATCCTATCAAAACCATAAATCACAAGTTCATTTACATTTTTCATTTTGATGCAAAAAGTCCATAAGAGACCTCCAGTCACCAATAAATGTAGATAATATTTTTCTCTAATCAAACAAATCACTTTATCCATTTGAGCAACATCTGTCAACTTCACTTTGTGTTGGAAATTCTGAACATTATAAGAATGTCAAGGAATTAAAAAATTGTTTCTGAGGATTTGAAGGGAAGAAGCCTGTGGCTGGGTGAAAATCTGCTTCTAAAGAATGAAAGCAACATTGGAAATGCCTTTTTTTAAAAAATAGAACAGAGCTGGAAGGGACCTTGGAGGTCTTCTAGTCCAGCCCCCTGCTCAAGCAGGAGAACCTATACCATCTCAGACAAGTGACTGTCTAGATTCTTTTTAAAAATCTCCAGAGATGGAGCACCCACAATTTCTGGGGGCAAGCTATTCCACTGGTTAATTATCCTCACTGTCAGAAAGTTTTTCCTTAATTCCAGATTGCTTCTCTCTTTGATCAGTTTCCAACCATTGTTTCTTACCCTGCCCTCTGGTGCTTTGGAGAATAATTTGACTCCCTCTTCCTTGTAGAATACTGGAATACTGCTATCATGTCACCCCTATTTTTTCTTTTCTTTAGACTAGCCAAATCCAAGTCCTGCAGCCGTTCTTCATATATTTTAGTCTCCAGGCCTTTAATCATCTTAGTTGCTCTTCTCTGAACTTTTTCCAAGGTCTCAACATCTTTTTTGTAGTATGGTGACCAAAATTGGTTGCGTTATTCCAGGTGTGGTCTCACTAGGGTTTTATAGAGTGGTACTAATACCTCATGTGATCTTGATTCTATGCCTCTGTTTATACAACCGAGGACTGTATTAGCTTTTTTGGCTGCTGCACACTGCTGGTTCATGGTTAAGTGATCTAGGACTCCAAGGTCCCCCTTTAAAAAAGAAACCATTAAAATCCTATTATATCAGTAGATTTATAGAAGAACATCTTGCACAATGCTTTCAGAAAACTGTATTACATATAGTATACATTTGCTTCTTTATCTAATCTATTGTGCAAAATCCAGATTGTGTTGAAATATTGCATGGGGTCTTGCCAGCCCTTTAGTACTTGGCAGACAGAGGTGAAGCTGTCTCAATTCTTTGTCCATCTGTTGCACGAATTCTTTCCCATTGCCATTCAACATCGCTCACAAGTCTGGACCTGAGAGAGCTTCATCTTTGCTTGCTATGTGCTACCAAGAAGTTGGATCTCTTCTGGTTTTGCATTGATTTATTTGAAACATGACATAAGTGGGAGGGGTTTTTTTTGAAGCTTTGTGGCTCTGCAAAATTTGTGGGCAGTCTGTTTCCCATTGATGGGAACTCTTAGCTCACGCTTGTGCAGGAAAATCTAACAACAAATACTCATGCTGTTGCTATTACATGGTTGGGCTAATGCAATATATTCTACAATGGGGATTACTTTGAAGATCACAGGGAAGCTGTGGTCCAGAAGACAGTGATCTGTGTGCTAAATGGTGCCTGCTTTTGAAAGCAACAGCTGTGCTTTGACCTCTTCATTGGCTTCATTGGAATCTAAAGTACTAGTTTTGACTTACAATGCCTTTTATGGCTTGACATGTTGCCAGCTCCTGGACTGCATACATTAACAGGAATTGGACCAGCCAGTAAGGCCATGTTAGGAGAAACACTTAATAGTCCCCCACTTCCAGGAAGTAAAAGGGGTCAAATTAGGAGACACTATTTTTCAGGAACAGCATTAGTTCTTCAGAGAACCTTCCAAAGGATGGCTCCCTCCATTATTTCATTTAGAAAAATTTAAAAAACTAAGCTCCCTTGTAGAGCACTTACAGCTTAGAACAGGCCATCAGTACATACATACATATTTAATTCTCTTTGTGCATTTATGGGTTTTATACATTTGTTTCAGTTTTACCAAGAAGATCCATCCATCCATCATCATCTCTTATGAACTTAGACCACATGCTAGTTAACACAGGTATTCCTTGACTTACAACCACAACTTACAAACACAACATTTCCATTGCTAAGCAGGACAATTGCCAAGTGAGTTTTGCTCCATTTTATGACCTTTGTTGCCATAGTTGTTAAATGAATACTGCAATTGTTAACTGATTCATGTGATCATTAATTGAATCTGCCTTCCGCCCATTGACTTTGCTTGTCAGAAGCCAGCTGGGAAGATGACAAATAGTGATCACATGACTCCGGGACAATGCAACTGTCATAAATACATGATAGTAGTTGGTCACATGACTGTAGGGATGCTGCAACGGTCGTAAGTACTGTTGTAACTTCAGTCACTAAAAAATGATTGTAAGTTGAGGACTATTTATATAGTAGATAATTCCATTTGTCCCTAAACTATTTTATGTTGAGAGGTATCCAGAAGACTCTCAACCAATAGCAATGGAAAATTCAAAACTGACAGCCTGTAAGGGTAGTTGTTTTTTTATTTTTGTTTGGTTTTTATTAGATGTTTATAGTTAAAAATGTATTTCAGAAAAGTTTTCTAAGTAATAATTTAGAGATGTCATCCATTTCTCTGTGAACATTCTAAGTCAGGGGTCCTCAACCTTGGCAACTATAAGACTTGTGGACTTCAACTCCCAGAATTCCTCAGCCAGCAAATTCTGGGAGTTGAAGTCCACAAGTCTTAAAGTTGCCAAGGTTGAGAACCTCTGTTCTAAGTGGCCTAAGGGCCTCATAAGGGCGGCGTGGTGGCTCAGCGGTTAAGACACTGGACGTGTTGGCTGAAAACCAGCAGATGGGGTGAGCTCCCATCCTTGTCCCAGCTTCTGCCAACCCAGCAGTTCGAAAGCATTCAAATGCATGTAGATAAATTACCTTCCCATTTTGGTGAGCAGGTAACAGAGCTCTGTGACATTACGCTGGCCACATAACCACGGAAATGTCTTTGGACAGCAAGGGTAATGGCCTTGAAATGGAGATGAGCACCACCCTCTATAGTCAGCAATGACTAGTGGAGTAAAATCTGCAGGGATTCCTTTACCTTTTTTTAAGGGCAGTTTGTAAATCTACTATAAAATTGTTTTATATTAATTCAGTTACACTGGATATCTGGAAAACGTACCTAACTCTTATAAATGAAGCCTTCATACAGTTTTAGATGTAACTCAGTAAGTTTATTTTATGTGCAGCTCTTAATTGATTAAAGTTACTAAATGAACTTGAATGAAATATTTGTTCCAATCAAATTCACACAAAGCTGTCTACTCTAGCTAGCTGGTGCTGGTCTTATGTATATAAGATACTTCCACATGTATCCATTTATGTACATGCACAGGGAACAGATACTGTTGAGCACCTCAGGACTCTTGCAATTTTGGACATCAAAATAATTAACTAAAATACTAGATGAACAGCAGATGAATAAATCTATAGACAATATATAATTCAAAATTTCTTTATTCAAAAAATGCCTACATAACAAGAACATGTTAAAGATCTAAAACTATGTTTGTAGCATTTATTTATTTGGAGGAGAGAGAGAGAGATACATGATTAGAAAATAGGCGATCAGTATTTCTATACCTGGAGACAGTAATCTAATTAGCCAAATATGTTTTAAATTTTGTGATCATAACATTTTTTCCTAAAATGAATTTCTTAAAAGTCTTCCACATCCATTTGGTCCATGAAGATAAAGTAGAAGGACATTTTGTTATTATCAAAACTGCAGATAGGGTACATCAGCAATTTAAGAAAATATTCTGTAATTGGTTTTCTTCTTTCTCCTTCAACTTAAAATTTTAAGACAGTCCGGATGCTGAAAAAGAGAAATAAGATAAATATGAGTTTTGTTCTTAACATTAAAGAGTACTGTTAGCATTTCATGATCTCCTCTGATGATCCAGCCTGTTTCTAGAGATGCTTCACTTGTGTACTTAATTAACAGTAGCTATATACAATCATCCTGGGAATGAGATGGGCAGGTCTTGAGGTTCCATGGAAATTTCTCCACTGTATCCAAATACTTTCTTTTTTTAGTAATCACAGAAGGTTGCCTTTTACCAGATTACACGATTTATACACCTTCCTTGACAGATATTATTCATGGGTTTGGTGTTTCTTATCACTTGCTTCCTGAATGTATATTTTTTAATGTCAAGATTAAATCTAGCATTCTATGTGCAAATCTCATTCCTGAATTTAGGTGTGTCAAGTGACCAACTACCTAATCAATATTTTTTTTCTTTTCCTCTTACATAGAATTTCCCCTCTTGCAGAAGGCAGAGATTGCTTAAACAAACTATCTCTTACTAAATTGTTTTTCTTTTCAGGGCAATGCTTCCCTAAAAGGAGCTAAACCTATAACCTTAATTAGTTAATTTGTTAGTTAATTAGCATCTTCTAGCAAATGTGTATGGAGATTCTCAGTTGTCTAGGACTAGGTCATGGCTGTCTCAAAGATGTTTTTTTGAAAGGCAACTGGGCTATGCCTTTTATTTGAAGAAGATGTTTTGCTTCCAAGAAGCTTCATCATTTCTGACTGGTGGGGATGGAAGGGTTAGTTCTATTCATCAGAACTAATCATTTCATTCCTGTCCTCACCATTCAGTCAGTATTGATGAAGCTTCTTGGATGAGAAGTGAAGCATCTTTTTTTTCAAGGAAAAAAACATAGTCCAGTTAATAGAATAGAACAGAACAGAACAGAGCTGGAAGGGACTGTGGAGGTCTTCTAGTCCAGCCCCCAGCTCAAGGAGGAGAACCTATACCATCTCAGACAAGTGGCTGTCTAGCCTCTTTTTAAAAATCTGTTGGGAAGTTTCTCCTTAATTCCAGGTTGCTTCTCTCTTTGGTCAGTTTCCAACCATTGTTTCTTACCCTGCCCTCTGGTGCTTTGGATAATAATTTGATTCCCTCTTCCTTGTGGAATACTGGAATACTGCTATCATGTCACCCCTATTTCTTCTTTTCTTTAAACTAGCCAAACCCAAGTCCTGCAGTCGTTCTTCATATGTTTTAGTCTCCAGGCCTTTGATCATCTTAGTTGCTCTTCTCTGAACTTTTTCCAAGGTCTCAACATCCTTTTTGTAATATGGTGATCAAAATTGGTTGTAGTATTCCACGTGTGGTTTCACTAGGGGTTTATAGAGCGATACTAATACTTCACATGATCCTGATTCTCATGGTCAAGTGGTTGTCCACTAGGACTCCAACGTCCCTCTCACAGTTAATGTTTTTGAGTCAGGTATCACCTAATCTGTACTTAAACATTTGATTTTTTCCTGCCTAAATGTAGTGGCTTGCCCTGTCAGTGTTGGTGGGACTGGTCTTAGAGATTCTTTGGTTGGGCTGTTTGCTGTTGGCTTCATTGGCAGTTTCTTGACTGGGTATTATTTACTTGACTGTTGGTCTAATGTTAACCTTGGAGTTAATCTATGCTGATCTGGGTGCTGACAGCTGGTGGAGAGGTGCTTGGGTCTTTTTGTTCCCTTTTGGGCTGATTGATTGTCTCTTTTGCATAGTCTATAGATGTTGTTAGTGTCTTTGTGTCTATTGATGGCTGATTTGTCAGAGTGCCAAGCTTCTAGGAATTCCCTGACATTTTTGGAGTTGGCTTGATCTAGGATGGTCACATTTTCCCAAGTAAAACGATAGTTACGTCTGTCTATATGTTGTGAAATTAAAGAGTTTTCATCATGTCTTCTAACTGCTAGTGGCTGTTCATGGCTTTCTGCCTGTTTTTCCTACATAGTGGTAATTGCAATCATATTGTATGTTTTAAATGACTCCTGTTTTTTCTTCTGGGGTTGCTAGGTCTTTTGATTTGCTTAGGATGTTTTGACGGGCTTCAGTTAGCTTGTGTGCTATGCTGGTTTCAAGTGGTTGTAATAGTCTGTTGGTGGTTTCTAATTTGCTAATTTTCCCTCAAACCCTTTGCTAGTTCCTCAAACCTCTTGCTAGTTATCCTCAAACCAAGGTGAGAAATCCAAAGGATGGGGAAGTGGAGAAAGGAGACTTTTATTCCTTTCCCCCAGCTTCCTCGTGCGTCATGTTCTGGAATCATCCCCTACATTGGCTGTTTGGGGTTGTATCCATCTGATGCTGCATGTCCAGGGACAATTTCTTAATCAACCTTTTTCAAGATTTATTACAATCCTGGCATCTGATTGAAGCCTGGGAAACAGGGCCCCTTGTCAGTCAACAGAAATGCTGATTTATCACCAGCTTATCACGTATTTAGGAGCCAAGGTTGCAGCACCACAAGGAAACAACAATTGATGACTTAATAGTAGGTCATCAATTAACAACTAAAAGCCACACCCAGCCAGGCACCATACAAATACAATCCATAGATTCTAGAGAGAGAGAGAGAAGTTCCCTGCGGATGTTCTCCAGCACAAGCCTGAAAGCTTGGAAGAATAAACCTCTGGTCCCAGTGACCAACTCAAACTGCATCCTTCAGTTCTGGCTAGGGGTGACATGACATCAGTGTTTCCATATCTAAGGGACTTCTACAAAGAAGAGGGGGCCAACCTATTCTCCAAAGCACCTGAAAGCAGAATAAGAAGCAATGGATGGAAACTAATCAAGGAGAAGAGCAACCTAGAACTAAGGAGAAATTTTCTGATGGTTGGAACAACTAATCAGTGGAATGATTAGTTGCCTCCAGAAGTTATGGGTGCTGTAACACTGGAGGTTTTAAAGAAGGGATTGGACAAGTGTTGTCTGAAATGGTATAGGGTTTCCTGCCTGTGCAAAGGGCTGGACTAGAAGAATTCCAAGGTCCCTTCTGACTCTGTTATTCTCTCCTTGTATTTTAGTATCCATCCTACAGCAAGTATGAGTAATTATAGAAGATAGAGAGAAAGGCCTGGAGGGACAGGAGGAAGAGCTGTTGCCAAGGGATTAATAATAATAATAATAATAATAATAATAATAATAATAATAATAATAGTAGTAGTAGTAGTAGTAGTAGTAGTAGTAGTAGTAGTAGTAGTAGTAAAGTTGGAAGGAACCTTGGAGATCATCTAGTCCAACCCCCTGCACCAACCCTACACCATTTTGGACAAATGGCTGTCCAGTCTCTTCTTAAAAACTTCCAGTGTTGGAGCATTTACTGCTTCTGGAGGCAGGTTGTTCCACTGAGTAATTGTTCTAACTGTCAGGAAGTTTCTCCTTAGTTCTAGGTTGTTTCTCTCCTTGATTAGTTTCCACCCGTTGCTTCTTGTCCTGCCTTCAGGTGCTTTGGAAAATAGCTTAATTCCCTCTTCTTTATGGCAGCCCCTGAGATATTGGAATACTGCTATCATGTCCCCCCTTGGCCTTCTCTTCGTTAAACTAGACATACCCAATTCTAGCAACCGTTCCTTATATGTTTTAGCCTCCAGTCCCCTAATCATCTTTGTTGCTCTTCTCTGTACTCTTTCTAGAGTCTCAACATCTTTTTTACATCGTGGTGACAAAACTGGATGCAGTATTCCAAGTGTGGCCTTACCAAGGCATTGTAAAGTGATATTAATACTTCACATGATCTTGATTCTATCCCTCTGTTAATGCAGCCTAGCACTGTGTTGGCCTTTTTGGCAGCTGCAGCACACTGCTGGCTCATATTTAAGTGATTGTCTACTAGGACTCCGAGGTCCCTCTCACAGTCACTACTATTGAGCATGGTGCCACCTATGCTGTACTTGTGCATTTGGTTTTTCTTGCCTAAATGTAGAACCTTGCTTTTTACACCACTGAATTTCATTTTGTTAGTTAGTGCCCAGTGTTCAGGATAAAAGAAACTGGAATCCAGGCCAGGAATATAACATACATACATGTTTTAGGCAAGTGAATTCCCGATTCACATGAAAATAAAAGGAAGGAAGCACATTCAGACTTGCAAGATTCTATCAGTATAAGTTACAACAGAAGTAGTATTCTCCTTCATGACTTTGATTTTCTAATCTGGTCTAGCTTGAAGGGCCAGACAAAAGAGAAACAGAAGTGCATCATTACCTTTTTCCTGCCCGGAGCATATCCAGCCCTTCATTGATTTTCTCAAAAGGTAACGTATGAGTGATTAATGGATCCAAAATGAATTTCTTCTGCATGAAGTCTGAAACAAGCTTGGGGACAGAATCTTTGCTTTTCCACCCTGAAAAAAATGATTGATGAGAATATGAATTATTGGAAAAATCCCAGTAAAAATTGTGAAAAGATGGACGAGAGTTTAGTCTTTCTGCAGATTTAAACTAATGCAAAATGGAATCCACCCATCCTAAGTTGCTTCTTCCTAGGCTGTAGTTTTTGTTGTCATGGAAGAGGCTTCTATCTTGGAAGGGAAGATAGTAATGGAAGGGAGAAAATTACTGTAGAATAAAACTTTGCTTTACATTTCAGTAATGTGATTGGGCTTAGACGTCACATTACGTGAGAGACTGACAACCTTTTACAGCCAGGAGCTGCACTGTGGCTGGAGTGATGATGCAAAGCAGGTGGAATACTTCATACAATTAGTTGGGGCTGGGACTTTCCTTGGTTTATTGTAATTATATTAAGCGTCTCAATTTAATCAATAGCTGTTTTAAGTCCTTAATCTCTTATTGTATAATTGCTGCTTCTTTTTTGTCTTTCTAGTTTCTAAATAGTGGAAAACCTTTACTATTCATTATCTATGTGGACTTGGGGAGCTGAAACCATCATTTTTGGGATCTGCATGCAGTTTACCTCTGCAAATGCCAGTTTGTTTAAGCCATACCTTGCTTACTCAGCCCATATGCTAAAGCAGTGGTTCTCAACCTTTCTAATGCCGCGACCCCATAATACAGTTCCCCATGTTGTGGTGACCCCCAACCACTTATACATCACTGGGTGCCAGGGGCGTGGCCAAAGAAAAGGGGAAAAATGGCGGACAGCCTTGTTTGGCGACCCCCGGGAAATGGTCGTTCGACCCCAAATGGGGTCCCAACCCACAGGTTGAGAACCCCTGTGCTAAAGCTAAACCATTTAAAAAAACCTGAGTCAGTAATGAGCTGGATTATTTTAATAGCTATGATATCTGACAATTTTTTGTATATTTTTGTATTGAGTGACCTGATCCATTTTGTTTCTGCTTTGTGTTACTTTTTATGTGCCAATCTGCTCAGGATTGGCTTGGAATGCAGTAACACCAAAGTCAGAACAAACATCTATAGTTCCCTAAATTTGAGTTACCTATTATTATTTGGAAATATATCCCCAGAAATCATTAATATCCCCAAATACGAATATCCTCCGATAATAAATTGCATTGTAGGAGATAATTTTTTTACACTTGTTATTCACACTTTCTACTATACCTCCAAAGACACATCCTTTCCAGGTGCGGCCAGTGAAAAGCATCAGCGGGTCGTAAGTGATCTTACTTGCATTTGGGGGCACTCCCACCATGACGCTGGTCCCCAAATTCTCATGGCAGGAAGCAAGGGCAGACAGCTGACAGCAAACAAACAAACCAAAGATACACCCTTTATCTATTCATTCATATTTTTACATTTATATATTGTTCTTCAATATCCTCCACTTTTTATGCAGGTTACAACCAAATGAAGAATAGAGAAATTACTTGTAGGCAATTACACTCTCATCTACTTCCTTTTTGTTTGTGGTATTTTATATATGAAAGCCAGTTTGGTGCAGTGGTCAAGGCATCAGATTAGAAACCAGGACACTGTGAGTTCTAGTTCTGTCTTAGGCACAAAGCCAGCTGGGTGACCTTGGGCCAGTCACTCTCTCTTTCATCCCTAGGAAGCAGGCAATGGCAAACTACTTCTGAAACACTTGTCAAGAAAACTGCAGGAACTTGTTCAGATAATCTCCAAGAATCAGACGCAATTGAATGGAAGGAAAAAGAATTGTACATGCATTGCTTAAAACAATGATTCAAGTTATAAAACTGTATCACAGTCCAGTGATAGATATATTTAAGTATTTAAATCCCCAATCAGACACAAATTCTCAGACACCAGAATCTAAGCATAAGGACAACCCTTTAAAGGACATCCAAGAGAGGCCAATGGTTGGTGCTTCCCAGAACAACTTTCCGACAAGCAAAGTCAATGAGGTAGCCAGATTCATTAAACAGTGTTACTAACTTAACAACTGCAGTGATTCATTTAACAATGGTGGCAGGAAAGGTTGTAAAATGGAACAAAGTTCACTTAACCTCTGTCTCACTTGGCACATAAATTTTGGAACAATCAGGATAGACAAAGACAATTTTTTCTACACAACACATAATTCAACTCGTCATGCATTCCATCTGGTATCCAGGGCCATACTGGATGCCCAAATTAACAATTGATTGTTTCTATATATGCTTTACTATAATTGGAATGCAGTGATATACATTACTGAATTTTGACAGTGTGTTCCTTCAGAGAAGTCAAGGTAATTCATATGATTGTCCCCCAAAACATTCAATCCAATGTTAACTTTATAATAATCCTTGATAATAGGATTGGCTCAAGTTCATTTGTTCGATCTTGTAATCATCATGCAATGTTGGGGGAAAAATGCTCTACCACAATTTACAGAATGCATTACGCTTATGAGGCCTTAGATTGCTACACCCAATCTCTGTCATAAGACATTTTACACCTAATATGACTACACCATGGACTATGTTATTATCTGAGTCATTTGTTATGACAGTTTTCACATACCATAGTTTCAGTGCGTCCAATCACTTCGAAAGAATAGTCTACTCCTTCACCCCCAGTCAAGTCAAAGAGCACTTCATTGATCGGTTTCTGGAAATCCTGGGGATTGATACATTCTGTGGCTCCCATTTCTTTAGCCTTAGCAAATTTATCCTTGTTGATGTCAACTCCAATGATTCGGGAAGCTCCAGCTGCTTTACAGCCCATGACCACTGAGAGACCAACTCCACCCAAGCCAAAGACAGCACAGATAGAACCAGCCTCTACCTAGAAAATCATAACGTCAATACACATTGAACAGTTTTTTTTAATTATCTTAACAAGTAGGAAAAAACACACATACTAATGCAAAATACAAAAAAAAGGAAAATAAATACACTAGAAATATAATAGAAAACTACAGCTTGGTTGGTTTTCAAAAGTTAGGTAATCTATGCAGGATAAATTACCCTGATGTGAGGAAAAAAATCTTAAATACTTTACTGTATTTAACTAACAACTGAAAACAGAATTTGTCTGAGGTTTATTTTCAAATTATTTGGTTCACTCTCTTTGGTGAAAGTTGTCCAGATATAACATGATCTATAGAGCTATAGCATATCTTATATGGGCCTTCTATTATATATAATACAATATTTTTGAAATTTTTAGTCATGAGCTCGGGCATTCCACATCTATTCCATCTGCCAATTGTTTCCAAAGTGCTTTAAATCCAATTTTTAATTCCAATTTTCCTAGTTTCTCCTTACTATCCGCAGAACCTAAATGCATCTAGGATAGCGTTCAGCTTGTATGGCCTCTGTTCTCAGTACCTCATGATACATGATACAAAATACCCCAATATTATAGGGGTCGGTTAAACATAGCTTTTTAGGCTATGTCTTTCACTGCTGAGCTAACCTTCATTAATATGTCTTTTACTCTTTGCATATGTGTAATTTATTAATTTACATATTTATTTGTTACATTTTTATGTTGCCCATCCTCCCTCTAAAGTGATTCTGGGTGGCTTACAGGTTATAATAATGTTTTATATATAATTGTTTTAAATGCATTGGCAGTCATATAATGAAAAGCTGCCTAAAATATTTTAAGGATAGCTAAAATGGCAGTGTTCAGATGTGGCTGCCTGGGATGTATGTTTTGCTATTCTTTGCTACAGGTACAATTCTTGGGTTCCATTGATGAATGGCAACAGTTGGCATAAATAGAGGTTTCTTCTATATGACCTCCATTTTTTTGTTTTGCTTTTAACAGGTTTTCAACAGGTTTTTCCCATGGCAGTAAAAATACTCTGTCAACTGGCCCCAAACCCTTAGAAGCTTCTGTGTTTGATATTTGAGATACTGAACTTCTCTATGGATAAAATGGTTTTCCTTTGGAGAAAATTCCTCTCAATCCTAGCTTTATGATTTCTTGGTATAAGTGGTCCTTGACATACAACCATTAATTCAATGACATTTGAAGTGACTTAGAGCTGATTCTCATACTTATCCAACAGTCGTGTGATCAAGCCCTTGGTAACTGGCATGTATTGAAACATGGTTGTAGCATCCAAGGAACATGTGATTCCCCAACTGAAACCTTTCCAGCCAACTTCCAATAAGAAAAGTAAAGGGGGAAGCTGGATTCAGAATAACAGAGCTGGAAGGGATCTTGGAGATCTTCTAGTAATCCAACTTCCTGCTTAAGCAGGAAACCCTATACCATTTCAGACAATTTCAGACATTTCAGTCCAGTCTCTTCTTGAAGCACCCACAACTTCTGGAGGCAAGTCATTCCATTGATTAATTTTTCTCACTGTCAAGAAATTTCTCCTTAGTTCCGGGTTGTTCCTCTCCTTGATTAGTTTCCATTGATTGCTTCTTGTCTTGCCTTCAGATGCTTTGGAGAATAGCTTGACTCCCTCTTCTTTGCAGCAGCCCCTGAGATATTGGAACACTGCTATCAAGTCCTAGTCCTTCTTTTCATTAAAAGAGACATACCCAATTCCTGCAAACGTTCTTCATATATTTTAGACTCCAGTCCCCTAGTCATCTTTGTTGCTGTTCTCTGCACTCTTTCCAGAGTCTAAACATCTTTTTTACATCATGGCAACCAAAACTAGATGCAGTATTTCAAGGCACTTTAAAGTGGTATTAATACTTCATGTGACAAGCGTGTGATTTACTTAACAACTGCAGTAATTCACATAACAAACATTGCAGAAAAAGTCGTAAAATTGGGCATGACTCACTTAGCAATCATCTTGCACAGCAATGGAAATTCTGGTCCCAACTGTGGTTGTAAGTCGAGGACTACTTGTACTCCTTTCTCTCTGCAGGCAAGCTGCATCAGTGTCCTTTAGGACAGCCAGTCAGCCAGCCACAGTATTTTTTTATTTTTTGCTCATTGTGAAAACAAACACAGCAAAAGAAAGGTAGGATTGGGGGAATGAGTGGGTTACTGTTAGGAAGCTATTTTTTGTGTTCTTATGTTTGTTAGCAAGAGGACGTGTTTGTCAGCAATCTGTGGCTACAATGGAACCATTCATTGACAAACTGGATCCTGGAAAGAGTGTGGATGTAAAAAAATGTCCCTTCTCATTTTTCATCTCAAGCTTTTCATGTTTGGAACAGAGCATTTCAGAGGGCAGCACATGTACTCTGGAGGGCCAAAATCCTAGCTAATCTTGTTAAACGCTATTGACATTGAACTATATGGAAGTGTTATAGGAAATACCAATGACTCTTGGCAATTAAATATAATTTTCATCCTGGGAATTTAACATGGAACAAAGAGTGCTGGGTGATGAACAGGACAAATGCACCCTGAATCCAATGCACAAAATGTGTGGCAGGCAGATAACGCACATATAACTGGAGCTGGATTTAAATAAAGTATATGTTCTTGAAATCAGTGCTCTAGGTCTTACCTTAGCTGTCTCCATGGCTGCCCCATAACCGGTCGAAAACCCACAGCCAATCAGACATACTTTTTCCAGAGGGGCTGAAGGATCAATTTTGACCACTGAGTTCTCATGCACCACAGTATATTCAGTGAAGGTGCTGGTGCTAATGAAGTGGTGGAGGCTCTTTCCTTTGCATGTGAATCGGCTGGTGCCATCAGGCATTAAGCCACTGCCTGAACTAATGCTGTAAACACACACACACACACACACACACACACACACACAGAGAGAGAGAGAGAGAGAGAGAGAGAGAGAGAGAGAGAGAGAGAGAGAGAGAGAGACAGAAAAGGTTACAGTTAACAAAGCGGGATTTTGCTCAGACTGAAAGTCAAAGTCTACAAGCTGTTAAATGTTCTTTGCAGTTAGCCTTTGGGGTTTTCTAAGTGCATGTTGGCGAGGGACGGAGGGAGGGAGGGAGAGCATGAATGGATCTACTGAACATTAGGCTAAAACCAGGTTGAATAGTTTGTGGTCTAGTGTAATGTGAGAAAGGAACCAAACGACAACCTTAGTATGTGGTGTTATTTAGGCCCTTGGACTGAGCCACATTATTCGCACATCATAGAAAAACAGCAGCTATATATTTTGATAATACTGTGGCTAAGGTAAAACTCAGTCAGCCTAGCAGCACGGAGAAAATTAAACCCTTTCTCCTTTGCTGAGGAAAATCTGCCTGTTTATTGAAAAAAATATTTTGGGTATAGCATAATGAGGGGAAAAAAATTCCAGTCCAAATGCAAACTTGAAGGAGAGAGTTTTCTAGTTGCCTCTGCCCAGCCTTTACAATTATGTATATTTTCACATGCACACCTGTTCAAACTGAGTCCTAGTTGAACCAAAGGTGCTTTCTAAAAAAGCAACTGGACTATGTTTTTTTTTCTTTTCCCTTGAGGAAGAAAAATTTCGCTTCTCATCCAAGAAGCTACTTCAGTTCGGCTAGATGGTTGGGATGTAGGGGGGGATACTCTCTGAGTACTCTCTCAGAGAGAGTGCTAACAACCAGATGACTGCAAAAAATATAATCCTTCCATCCCCCCCCCCCATCAGCCAGAACTGGTGAAGTTTCTTGGATGAGATGCGAAATGTCTTCTTCTTCCTCAAGGGAAAAAAAAAAGGGGGGGGAACATAGTCCAATTGCCTTTTGAAAAAGCACTTTTGAGACAACCATGACCCAGATAACTGGGAATCTCCACAGACAAACAGTCTTAGTTGAAATTCAAGGTTGTTTGTTTGCTTCTTTTCCATTATTTCTACACTACCACAATTGCTTATGTGGTTCACAAAGAGTAAAAGGGATTGATTTCCCAAAATTTGTTGGAACAGCCAAGTTTTATCAGTTTTCCAGAAGATGGCTAAAGTAGAGTCCATCTGAATATCAGAGTTAGGGCAGCAAATGAGAAACTTCTATCTCACTTTTACCTGCTAGAGTGTAGGGATAACCAGGGTATCTGCCGGTGAAAAGTCTCAACAGGCCAGAATCAGCCTGGAGGAAATGTTTCTGAAGATACTGTAAGTACATATTTTGGCATTTATAGGTTAAATCCAGCATCTTGAATTGTACTTGGATTTCTATTGGAAGCCACTGCAGTGCCCACAATATAGGTGCCACTCTGCTTAACTGGCTCAAACTAGTCAAAGTACAGACTCTGTACCCGCTGCAGTTTTTAGGTTTGTCTTCAAATATGGCCTCAAATATGGCCTTGTTGTAATCCACTCTGGAGGTAATGAAGGTCTGAATAACTGGGATTCAATCCAGCTTGCTTCGTCCCATCTAGATCCTTATAGCCTCTGGAAATTAGAGGCTTCACAGACTCTCCTGTTTGTTTTAAGCATAAGCTGGATATACACTGCATGTTGATGATGCTTTATATTGAACTAAAGGATGAGCGGGTTCATATTTTAGATATTATACAGCATGGGCAAGAATGCCAATTTAGGTAATACACCATATAAAAGAGGGAACAGGCCTGCCTACTCATCCCACTTCTTTACTGTCTTCCATTCAGAAAGGAATGAAAGCACTGCAGTACCATATTTCCAACTCCTAGTCCCTAGTAGAAGCACTCCAGAAGTCATGATCAAAGGCATTAGCTAACAGGAAAGGAGGGGTCTCTTCTGGGATCAGCCCATGGTGGCCTTTGTGACCAGGATTTCCTGAGCCACTAGTGATCCTGTTTCAAGGGCATAAAGTCCCCCAGCATTAATAGTCTCCAACCCCTTCCCCAAGATGAACTCAAGAAAGTCAGATACTATATGTTGCTAGGGAGCTAGTTGGTGACTCTGCCAGCAGAATCCCTACTATATTTCTAAAGTCCAATCTCTGATATAAATACCTGCATGTAGTTATCTCTAAGTAGAATTTCTGAAGTTGCCAAGGTTACCATGGAATATGATTGGAGCTCCACCCTTACAATTAAGATTAATACATCACTGAAACCCTGGAGGGCAGATATCAGAGAAGAGGATACGCCCATTTTAGTTCAGTCAAGTTTCATGTATACAATATGCAGAGTTGCTATTCATTGTTGAAGGTGGCTGGACCTACAGAACAGTAGTAGGAAGAATGCTGCTTTTTAGTGGGAAAGCCGAATTCAGAGCTCAAAAAGTTTAGCCAGCTGGTGTTTTTCAGCCTCTCCTCAGGAGATTAATTTTCCAGGACTCTAAGTGAAATGAGAGGAATGTTATGCAGGAGATCAGAATGAGGAAAGTTAGCAAACAAATTCTTACTTTTGGAGACTTGCAACAAATTCTTACTTGTGGAGACTTTTTAATCTTTTGCCTGTTGTATATGCTGTTCTTGAAAAACTTAATTTAGACATACAGTATCTTAATTTTGTATATTCAGAGTATGTGTTGGATAAAAGACAAAAGAAAGAAAATTTGGGTAACATTCTAGAAGAATTATTCATAAGCCACAGTTGATTTGCTATTGAAAGTCACAAGTCCTCCCTTAAATCTCTCATATAGTACAAAAAGCAATTAAGTTCTCATATACATACATCTTGTTCAAAGTTCATTTAGAAGTATATGAAAAATGTATCCGTGTAACAAGGATTAAATCCAGACTTAAGCTAGACCCGCCAAGTTATTGAGGCCTGATGTAAATTAATAATTAAAAACTAAAGCACCACTGATTATGATGAATCTTTCCAAGAAATTTTCTTGGGAGCCAACCCAGAGACAATATATTGATTCCATTTAAAGTTATTCTGAACTGGACTTTTTCAATCATAATAAAAAAGAATATATTAAAATACTAGTTTTGATAGAGAAAGAAAAAGAAAAGAAATTGAAGCTCACTCATTTGAAGTACACAAGTTGCCTTTGGAACTCTGACAAGGTCTGCATTTTCCACATTGTGGAACAAAAAGTGGAATTACCGTATCTCCTAGAAATCAAAACAAATAGTTACAGCCAGCATGATTCAAACCCATTGCAAGCAAGCACAGAGCTATATAAATGAAACAAAATACTCTTGAATTGTGGTATTTTCTGTTGATTTGGGATCCATGTACAAAATACTTTGAAAGGAAGAAGTTTGGAAATAGTTTTGATTGTCTATATTCTGTGGATACGCTTTTATGCATTTTTAAGTACAGTAATACATGTACTCTAGTTAGAGATACATACTAAGGATCAGGAGATAAATCAAATGCTCATTTACTTTTAAATAAATGGTAGGATAAGTGTAACAAAAACTTTAGGATCCCATGTCTTATATTCCGATCCACTGGTTTTTAAATTCAAATGAAGTTTCTGTTATTCCTGGAACTAAAAGAGGCATGATCCTGATTTAAAGTACAAAATGTCTTATATTTAAGGGCTTCCATTTGTTGATATCAAGGAAAAGCCTCTTTTGAATCAAGCTTGATTGCTAATGACTTCATAAAACATTCAGGTAATTTTTCTTGACAATAGCACATAATATAAGGTGACCAACCGTCCTCCTTTAGGGAGGACAGTCTTCCTTTTGTAAGTTCTGTCCTCCCTCAAAAAGTGTCCTCCTTCATGTCTTCCTTTTCGATATTTGAAGACTAATCGGCAGGGCTTTTTTTTCCCCCCTCATAGAATGCTCAGAAGGGCGTTCTGACACCTTTTTTTGATGGGTTTTTTTTTTCCACTTTTGCATGAGCTGTGCTACTCCCACTATTGGCTTTCAAAAGCCAATAGGAATTGCTGCTGAGCGCGCCAAAACACCCGGCTGGCAAACTTTGCACATGCAAGTTGTCTGTATTATTGTTGCAATGAATAAAATGTTTCTTTTATTTACAATATTTTTTTCTTCAATTTATTTGTGTCCTCCTTTTCATTGTAAAAAAGTTGGTCACCTTACATAATAGTTTGTCCCTGCCTTGTTCCGGAATATTTTCCCCATGTTTAGCCTGCAGCTGTAGCATTCCTTACGACATTATAAACCAGATTACTTTCTAAATTTATTATAAAAACAATCTTTTAATGTTATGTTAATCCTTGCATTACTTCAGGCTCAGTAAGTACAGGTAGTCCCTGACATACAACATTAATTTAGTGACCGTTTGAAATTATGACACTGAAAAAAATGATTTATGGCCTTTTTTATACTTAATGACCATTGCAGCATCCCATGGTCACATAATCAAAATTTGGACGCTTGGCAACCGGTTCATGTTTATGAGGGTTGCAGTGTCCTGGGCTCATGTGATCACCTTCTGCGACCTTCTGACAACCAAAATCAATGAGGAAGCCAGATTCACTTAACAACCATGTTACTAGCTTTACAACTACAATGACAAGACAGATTGTAAAATGGAACAAAATTCACTTAACAACTGTCTCATTTAGCAACATGAACTTTGGGCTCAATTGTGGCTGTAAATTGAGGACCATCTGTAGAGCATGCTGCGAATCCTGTCAGTCAAGGAATCCTGTCGGTCCAGGAGAAGAGCCTTCTCTTCCATGGCTCCGCCCCTTGGAACATCTTTCCCCCCAGAGTGAAATCTGCCCCCGCTCCTGGCCTTCTATAAAGGCCTGAAGACCTGACTCTGCCAATTGGCCTGGGGCCTCAGTGGGGGAGTATTACACTTGTGGTGGTCAATGGACCAATAACAAATCCCACCTCCCCCTGCACATCCTGTTCCTTCCCCTCCCATCTTTTAATCATAATTTTTATTTTGTGGGTGTGTGTTTAAAACTATATATATCATTTTACTGCTTTTAATGTTGTAAGCCGCCCAGAATCACCTCATGGCAAGATGAGGTGATTTAATCTAAAACTAGATTACGAGGCGATAGCTATCTATCATCATATAAAAATCGAACAAAAGGAATGCACAATAAATGCAAATGCAGCTTATCTGAAATAAAGATTAAAAGGAAAGTTAATCATAAGTCCACATTAGGGCAAAGCATTTATGAAGCTCTTTTGTCTCATAAAACAGATTTATATAATGATTCTTGATGCTATGTTAATTTTTCAGAACATAGAATAGCAGAACAGGGTGTTCTACTAAGAAGACAATGAGAACATGCCAAGTGTATTCTAGGCCAGATTTTAGAGTCCTAATGTAACTCATCCCTTCTTGGGCTCCAATTTTTCTCATACCCGGTTTCACACAAGTCACTCCCTCTCCAACACTCTCCACAACCCCAGCTGCTTCGTGGCCCAGCACCATTGGCAAAGGCATCGCAAAAGCACCACTGATCACATGATCATCCGAGCGACAGATCCCCGTGGCCAAGATCTACAAAACAAAACAACACAAAAACAGGAAATCAGGTTTCCAGATAATGGGAAAATACCCTTAGTTGTATTTTTAGCTGGCATCTCATACCACATACTGAAACTTTTTACAAGCTGGGACATTATGACTCATCATGATGCTAACTATTTTCTAGCAGTTTTTCAGCACAGCTTGTTAGAGTTGTTTAATCCAAATATTTTATTTTTACTTGTAAGACACAGTGTGCTTAATAGAATAAGGGAATAGGGAAATGAAGATATGAAAAGAGATTATAATTCTTGAAATGAAAACCTGATAATGACCAATACAACTTTGCTGGGCACCGTTTCTATATTTGAAAATATTTATTTAAAAAAAAACAGAAGCCCATTAAATAAAACCAGCACAAGGTAGGTTTATATTCTTTCAAAAATACACATTCTGAAATGTAGGCCTCCTCAAAATCCCCAAATTTTCGTATTGGAGCTGTGTTGAAACAATAAGGTAATAGGAAAACTTATGGATAACAAAGTTTTAGTTTACATTTTAGTCTCCCAAAATCATGTCAATTCAGTTCATACTGCAATCGCATAAAGTGACTTTCTAAATGACTCTTCCATAATTCAGCAAAAACACTATTGTCCTAATACAATCTTGGTGGATTGGAAGACAACATCTTGCATTTTTTAAAAGTTGCCATATTAAAATATCCCAAATATAGAAAAATGTCAAAAATGGAATGACTGTAAATACTAAAAAATAAAACAGAACTTAAGAACTTGTTTATTTTAGTTAAATCATGGTTGATCTAAACTGAGTTAGAAAACCTCAGTTAGAAAATGATGTATGGTACTTCATCATACACTGCTCATTGGTGGCATCCTTATTTTTCCTATTGGTAATAATATCATTTGGATACATGTTAAATATAGGAGAAGAAGGAGCAGGAGGAACAGGAGGAGGAGGTGGCAGCAACTGTGAAGCCAAAAATGGGATTAGTATCCATGGTGCTATTCTTTTGGTTTACCTTAATGCGGACTTCATGTGCTTTTGGAGGTGCTACTTCAATCTCCTCAATGCTCAGGGGTTTTTTCAGCTCCCAAGCAATAGCTGCTTTGCACTTTATTACCTGTAAAAAATATACCCAGAGGCATTAAAGGGATGGCATTGTAACATTTGACCAAGCTTCTGGGTTTCCTTCATTGCATTAATCACTGATATCAGAATTACAACTCCTGTCCCTTATCATTTCTAGCCAAAATGGCCCTTGAGATAAATTAACATGCAAGATTTGCCTGTTGTCATCCAATTTGGTAGACTAGAAGCTTTCCTCTAAATCTAACTTGCATTTATCCATTCTTGATTGTATACAGTCTTGTTTTGCTTGGTATTTATGGTTTCATATAGTTAAATTAAAATTATTACAGATTTCATTTGCATCTGAGCATTTAAACATGCTGCTTCGAAAGCTGTGTGTGTGTGTGTGTGTGTGTGTGTGTGTGTGTGTATCTTTAAGTCAGTCTTGATTCCTGGTGAATATATGGTCAAGTCCCTGCAGTTTTCTTGGCAAGGTTTTTCAGAAATGGTTTGCCATTGCCTTCTTCCTAGGGCTGAGTGTCTGGCCCACAGTCACTAGCTGGTTTTGTGGATGTGACAAAAACTCATGGCTTACTGATTTTTAGCCTGATGTCTTCATTACTACACATAAATAGCTCTCAAAAGGCCTATGATAGTATTTTAATATGTAACTTCTCAGTTTATGTATCTAGCAAGTCTCAGCATACAATCATTTCTTCCTATCCCCTGATGGAAAAATACTGCAAAAAATATTTTGCAGCTGTATGTAACTGGTAGCTCCACAATAATTAAAACATAAATTACATTAAAGTTAGCATTCCTAGGTGGATTCCTTTCACCAGGAGCCCATTAGGATAGGTTTACCACCAATAAAATCATTGCAATGTTAGCTGGATCATTGCCTATTCTTTTTCAACTTTCACCCTGTTTAATTTAGTTTTATTAGATCAAAATCAAAATGTTAAGTGTTATATCCTTCTGCAAATAAACTTTTTATTGCAGTACTGCATTTCATTTAAATTTCACAATTCAATGAGCTTTTTCTATCTCTTGCAATATGCAAAACAAGTCTTTTTCTTCTAATGATCACATTTTACATTCAGTTAGCTCTTTTTCAGAATTCCATTTCAATCTATTATTTTGGTTTTAATACAAAAGTTATAATTAGGTATATGTGGATACTTTATGTGTTTATTTTCAGTTTATAAACCACATATATAACTGCAGTTGAAGAGATTACAAAAGCTAAGAAAATACAATACAATAAATAAAATGGTGTCTTTCACCATAATGAAAAACTTGTACTGTGAAGGAAACAACACAAACGTCTCCACTTACTTTGCCTGCAGTACTCATGTTGCTTTTTTTTCAGTTTTGCAGTTGTGGTTGTTCTCTGCCTTCTGGCTGTAAAAGATCAAGAATGCGCACAATCTCTGAGCTGATTAGTGAGTGTTGGAGAGCTTGCTTTTCACTTATATTGTAAACTTCAACTGCATAGAGGGTGTAGCTTTTCAATCAAGCTCACTAATTCCCAAGGTCCACCCCTGAGCTAAAAAAGGAAATACTCTTCAACCTTCCCTCTCTTGCTCACTATTCCAACTCAGAAGCTGAGTTGCCTGAAAATATTTGACAGCCTTGTGAATACCCAATTTACAAATATTGAAATTGCTACTACCAAAGTCACCTCTACCAAAGTCACCTTTTAATGAAGAGAAGGACCAGGGGGGACATGATAGCAGTGTTCCAATATCTCAGGGGTTGCCACAAAGAAGAGGGGGTCAAGCTATTCTCCAAAGCACCTGAAGGCAGGACAAGAAGCAACGGATGGAAACTAACCAAAGAGAGAAGCAAACTAGAACTAAGGAAAAATTTCCTGACAGTTAGAACAATTAATCAGTGGAACAACCTGCCTCCAGGTTGTGAATGCTCCAACACTGGAAGTTTTTAAGAAGAAATTGGACAGCCATTTGTCTGAAATGGCATAGGGTTTCCTGCCTGAGCAGGGGGGTGGACTAGATGACCTCCAAGGTCCCTTCCATCCTCCTTCTCCTCCTCCTCCTCATCATCATCACCTCTTGATTTTGTTAGATTCATATCTGCCTTTCCTTCAGGTTCTCTGGCTAGCTCTTACAATTTATCACCCCCCTCCCCTCCACAGCTGAATAAAGAGAACAAGAGTGAGATTCTTTTTCAAAGTCACCCAGGAGCAACTGTAGCTGATGATGGACTTTTTATCTGTCAGCCTTCCCTGGTAGACCAGACAGGAGACAGGACCAGATGGGCTTAGACTTCCTATTATTATAAGGCTACTTGAACAGAATCTTGCAAGTCTGAAAGTGCAAATCTCTTGATGTCCTCTTTAGCTGAGAAGGTTCGGTCCCTTCTGAGTCTCTTTCTTCACTTGTTATGCAGCTGCAGACGGTGATCTCTCCTGTCTGATTGTTCCCTAGGCAGCCTCTCTTTGCACCATGTTTCAAGGTCTTTCACACATACTGTTACAATCTGGGTCTTCTTAGTTCAATCCTTTAATTACTAATAGTGACACCGCACAGATTAATCATCATTTTCATCATCATGATCAGCAAGTTTGGTGGAGATGGTCAGATCTTTTTATATTTCATCTTTTACATTTCTGTGTGGGTTGTAGAATGAGAGTTTCTCTTTTATGGATAGCATAGATACCCTGTAAGTTACAGGAATTTATTCCTCCTCTCCCAGATTGTGATAGTTACATGATAGATAGATAGATGATAGCTACAGTAGTTATCTGGATAAATAGACAGACAGACATACAGATATATAAAAGAGAGAGAGACAGAGACAGAGACAGACTGGATGATGTATGTATGCATGTATGTATAAATGAATGAATGAATAAACAAACAAACAAATAAATCTGAAACCTTAAACTGTTTATGCCAAAAAAGAAGAAGCATGAAATAATGTCATTTTTGCTGACCTGGACCCTTTCAGGGGGCTGAGACTAATAAATCCCAGAAATCTCAATTAGCATATCTGAACAACTTTATAAAACATAATTATCATTTGCCTCCATCGTGGGAAGGACAACAAATGTAAGATGTCTCATTTTAAAAACATGTTATTTTGATTTACCTGATTTAGAATATGCTCCATCTATAAACCTCAAGGACACTCCAGTTGATTACTTCTTACATATTTCTTTCCACACTAATAAATGAAGAATGTGTCAGAAGGAAAGGAGGATGTAGGTGAAGAAGCTGGAGGATGAGAGGAATGTTTAACCTGTGGTTAGAGATAAACTTTAGATAGATAAACTAGAGAAAAACTTTAGAAGCCATTAAAACTGCTTTCCACAAGGGTATCTGTAGTTCAGTAAACAAAAGAGACCAGAGGAGGAAAGAAGGTGAAAAGTTATAATATGGTCCTGAAAGGGCATCAACATCCCAAATTAAATCCAGGTGTATTAGAGATATTTATTTGAATTTTGTAGAGGCATCTTTTCATGCAGTTGTAATAGGTTAACAGTTAATATCTATATAAACAGCCATGAAAAATATACTGTATTCTGCCTTTCCTAAGAATAAGGTGGTTCTTATAGACATTTCCCATAAAAGAGAGATGCCTATGATTTGTTAACCTGCACATACAGAGCATTTTGACAATTTGTATGATTTAAAAAGAAGCACTTTACATTTTCATCATAATGGGCAAGTTTATAATCAAAAGGCCTGAGAAGATAGCAGCTTTTTGACCTTCTGACCAGGTGATCAGATGATGCTTTCAGACAAGCGATTATACATCAAGAACAAAATTGGACATTTAAAAGGTGCCTGATGACCTGTCTCTTCCAAGTTTTTCTTCTTTCATTGGCAAACTTACATGGATCTAGGAGGGAGAAGGTGAGAGCTTCGAAAATAATTTTATCTTGGACATCATGCCATGTATTGTTTGACAAGCATTTGAAATTAGAACTTCAACTTAATATAGAGAGGGTCAGCAACAGCTCTTCCTGAAAAGGATGACTATCTCAAGTCTGAGCTTTGCCATCTTCTTTATGGTTCATAACATGTATTGCTTCTAGCCTCCAAGACCTGAAATCTCACTATGAAGCAAGCAGGCAGGCAGAGGAATTTTAGAAGCACATTTCCCCCCCTAATCTTAGTTTTTGTGTGAATGTCAGGAGCAAAGGTCCATGTAAGTATTAAATACCTATACTTAGATATACTGTAAATGTTATTGAGTTGAAGATCTTGCCTAGAAGACTATGCTGGGGCCCCATCCTACCTGATACACAGTCAAGATAAAGAATGTTTCCACAGGTCTATTTTGTGTCACCTATTTGATTGCATTTTCCCTATGTGGTTGAACTGAATATTAAATCTTTGCACAAAAGAAACCTTTATTGAAGACAAATTCCAGTGGTGCAGAACATTTTATGCCATAGTTAAGTACCACCTCTCTTCCATAGTCACCCTCCCTCACACTATGTGATCTCTTGAGTCATTGATCACATGGGGGTGAGAACAGGTATTACATGGTTTTGTGAGAAGCTCTGGAGCAGGGGTCTTCAAACTTGGCCCTTTTATGACTTGTGGACTTCAACTCCCAGATTTCCTCGGCCAGGTCAAGTTTGAAGACCCCTGCTCTGGAGGATGATGGGATAGAATGCTCTTGGAGTGAACCTGACTAAACACGTAGAAGACCCTCTATTGAGATGGGGAGGAAAGGTCAAGTCAACCCTGAAATAAACTGAAATATGCCCCTTATCCTCTTGTAGAATATTTGCATGAAGTTATAAAATGTCAGGGGGAGTACACCTAAATAAGCTAATATTAACATGACATTGAGAATAACTGATAGAATATCCACTTGTTAAGCAAATGTCTCTTTACTAAAAAAATGTCAAAGTAAAGCAAATAAATGATTAAACCTGAAATATCTCCCTCAGTAATGGGACTTAGGCAACCATGCACCCAATATCAGTATCTAGATATTGCACTAGACTTTTGTAAAGATCATTCACATTTTGCTTATTTGGACTGGCATTGACTGCTGGTCTATTTCATGACTTAAAATGCATTGAGTTCTCTTTTTTTATATGATTCTTATTGAAAGGAAAAAAGGAAGAAAGAAAAGAAAAAGCAAAAAAATGCAAGAAAAAATTGTATCATAGAAGATAAAGAAAGGAGAAAGAAAAAATATGGAAAGAAGTAGCTTCTGATATTCTTCACATAATTATAAATACAACTATATTTTAATCTCTTTCTATAAAATTGCATCATAACACCCTACTTTCTATAAAGCCATAAATCACAAACCCTTTTCTTTTTAACAGAACTCCATAAGAGGATTTTAATCACTAATAAATGTAAATAGTGATTACTTTAATCAAAGAATTTATTTTAATTTATCCATCTCAGCAAGATCTGACAGCTTCACTGACCATTCTCTAATAGTGAGTAACGTTGAATCTTTCCATCTGTGTACATATAAACATGTATTGAATTATCCATTATATACTATAACAGCTTGTTTAATATGGTTTTTAGGTTAGAGTTATGCATCTGTTGTGAAATCCTAGAAAAAGACAGCTTCTTTGAAGATGAGCTATATTCAAGCCCCCATATGTTGCAAAATACTTTTGGGGAATCAAATCCAAAGCAGAATCCTACTCCTTATATATTGGGATTTCAGTTCTTGGAATCGGCAACCTCTCTGCCTGGAATAATCTGGCATTTGCCTTGATTCTCCTACCTACATCTGGAGACCATTTTATTTAATTCATTTTGAATGTGAACACTAGAACCAATACAGAAACATTTTGAACTAATAGCCAAACACAAAGCACTCATTTAAAAAAGAACATGTCGTTAAAGAAGAGTCTGTACAAAAATGAATGCATTCAGAAAAAAATGCAGGACCATATTCTCCTACCAGTTTTGACCAGCTCAATCCATGTGTCTCTGAGACCCTGCTTCTAGTGCTCCACTTTTCTGTGATGATGGGATTGGAAGACTGTTAAGTGTTGGGAGACCTGCCCTCTGAAGCAACATTTCCCTGGAAAGTCTACCAACTCCCATGCTTTGGTCCTTAAGTTATCAAACATTGAGCTATTTCAGCAAAATTTTGTGAATTAATGCTGTAAGTTATTGCCTGAATGTATGTGTAGATTATTTAGATCTTTTCATTTGTTGATTTATATCAAATGCCATGGGTATATTTTTTTTATGGATGCACTGTAAACTGCTGAACATCTTTTGATTGGGGGAATTTTAAATCCCAAAAGAAAGGAGGGAGGGAAGAAGGAAGGAAGGAAAGAAGGGAGGAAGGAATCGGCAAAAATATGGCCATTAGACGAAGTTGCAAACTTTAGAGAAATACAGATAAAACTGTGCATTTGTATGCATATACCTGGACACCCAAATATACTTCTTACTTCTTAAAATTGCCCTGCATCCTTAGGAGAAATCTCAAAGCAAAAACACTTTTTATGTTGGGGCCACTGCAGGGTAAACAACCTGCAACTTGCAGCCCTTAACAATAAGCCAGCTATGTTTTTGTCCACCCAGACAATATATATATATATAAGATGAATCTACTAATCTCCCTTTTTATGACCCTGTATTCCTTTAATTCAGGTAGAGTTAGGGGAGGAAAATTGAAAGTTTTTTGATTTCTTAGCCCTCATCCTAATACATCTAAAAGAACTCTATTTGGGGAACATCTTCTTAACATTCCTTTCCCCCCCCCCCTTTTTTTTGTAAATCTGAAATGCTGACCCCTGTATATCACTTTAAGAAATGGTAGCTACTGATTACATTATTGCAGTAAATCAACTTGTAAATAAAATGTCTCTTCTCCTTTGCATTGTAGTCCATAACACTACAGGCAAATGGTACTTCTATTTCTTAAGCTACAGACACCGACAGTTAGTAATAGCAATTTTTCTCCTGATCTGCTCATGCAATAATTTTTATTTGTTTTTTTCCTTGTGTAAATGATTTTGTAACTTACAGCAGCCTGCAATATTGACACTGTCACTTGGTTCCTTACATAATGCTTACTCAATGAAAATATCTATATCTCTATGATGAAATGTAAAGGGCAAGCAGAAAGAAACATAAAAGAAAGATTCCTGTTCTGACCAGTTGCAACATGATTTATTAGAGCAGTTGCAGCTACAAGGTATTGAAGAAATAGCAAGAAGAAGACAATCGATACAGTCAGCTATTCAGTCTAGTCTAATGGGTTAAATTTAGTTCAAGGTAAATCCATTGTTCTATTGGATTAAACTGAATCAACTCAGTGCTCATTGCATGTCAACACTCAACTAGTATTATCCCGTACAGGAACCAGTAGAAAAATATGCTGGTTTAAGGACGTGCTAACCACTCTTTCATGACCTGTTCTTCCTTGACAGTGAAGCAGAAAAGAGGCTGAGGTGAGAGGGAGAGAAGTAGATGGGGAATCTTCCAGTAGTTGCATGAAAAGACTCACTAGTCTCTTGTTGTGAGTTCTTCAATCCCACAGAATGGTCACTTTATGGCCTTGGAGAACTGGCATAAGAGAAGCTGTCTCCCCCATTTCTTCTTTCATGGAACCAAACAACCCGGTCCCCTTTTTCCTTCTCTGTGGAGTAGTGGTTGTTCACTCTTCTGACTGCAGAGAGTGCCAGCCTATGAACCTCTTTCTTTGCTTCCCTTCTTCTAGCAGAAGGAAGGTAGAAAATTATCTTCAACCACTAGTCACACTAAGCAGAATGGTGGCCTTCCCCCCAGTCTTAAGTGCCTGGTAGTGGGTGGGTGGTAAATTATGCCCTGGAAAGTGTGCACTCAGCTTGCTGATCAGGTCCTACTGTGTGCTTGGCCTGCCAGGGCCATGTGGAGGACAGAGATATTGGGGGTAGCAGCTACAGACCATCCCTTCTCCTGAAAACTCTTCAGAGCCAAAGTATCTCTGTGGCATCATTCTTCCAAGCCCTGACTGCCTGTCCAGGAATCTTCTGCCAGATTTGGGAGGGTTGACAAGAAAGGAAAGAAATGACTGTTTGCTTGGATTCTTCCTTGCCAAAAGATGATGGCCCTGAAGATCAGTGACCAATGATCAGGAGAAGGCATGACTGCAGCATCTTTTGGCCCACAAGAACAGGGCAGGTCCCCATCCCTAAACTTTCCTAGGTACAAGGAGTTATAGTCAAACCTCATGGCAAGAAAGTGGAGTAATATA